CTCAGCTGCACCGCTTCACCGATGAACCCGACCTCTAAAACCCGAGTGGTCACATCTTTACTTTAGCAGATATCTGAGCCGTTCATGTAAAGACGCCCATTTCTTAAAGTTTACGTCTCATTTTCTCCAACATGAATGTTAGTGACTGGAGTATTTGCAGGCTTATTTAGCATGAGTGGGATGAGTGAGTGGAAATGTTTCCTTCCATTCTAACATTAAAACATCCACAGGGACGATGAGGTTCAGCAGCACGTGTTCTGCTCTTATCCCAAACATTTCTCCGACTATAAAACAAACTTCAAGTCAGGTTTCTGGACTGACTGATTCACACAACAGAAAGACGCCCTGTGAATATTTCCACCTGCTGACTCACTGTTGGGAGGCAACGACTGGGAACCCAAACACCAGATGACGTATCCGCGCCGTCACCACCAGCTTAACCACCATGGAGCCTTTCTAACAGAGTCAGCTGACAGGAAGTACCTGATAGTCTATCCTCTTGATGGAGGGAACATCCATGTTGTGGGTGGAGGGGCACATGTCTTCATACTTCTTGTTGGTGAAGATGTCGATGCCAACCAGGTTAACCTGAAGGGAAGATGAGGAATTCACAAGTGTTTAAACAAAGAAAACAGGAGCCACTGAAAGCAGCACAACAGCAACTGATCAGCCTGCCAGTGTCCTGCACCAGCCCGGGGTCAAACTTCAATAAACGCCTAAACAGAAACCTTAGCCTACTGTCCGACAGCCTGCGTTACAATTTCAGCTAACCACATATTCTTTTTATGAGGGGCTATTTTGGTTTACTTAAAGCTCGATTCTCAAGTTACACCAATTCAAAATCTGCATGAAAAGTCATCGTTGGTCCCAAGTGTTCTTCCTCCCATCAGTCTGAAAGTTTGCACTTAACTAAAAAAATGCAATTAAATCTGCTGCTCCTGCAATCAGCTGCAAAATCAAACTTTTTTTTTAAAACCCAAATTGAATGAGCAGAAATTTCAGATTTTTTTGCTCTCACTGAATTGATTCAAAGTGACATTAAATACAGTGCAGGCTACAGGTACCCAGCTTCATCACTACCAGCCTTTATTTGGCTCAATGAGATCTTCTGTTTCAGGTCTGCTTAGTTTTAACGTGCATTTCATGTCGAGTGATGCTTATTGTGCATTTCACTGTGTCACTGCTCTATGCAACAATCGACTGTGCTGCCATCTATCTTTAGACTTTTAGAGTCACATCATCCTGATGGAAGTAAACGTTTAATTAGATTTAAGATCTGAATCTTTCCAAGCTGAAATGGAACAGTCAATAAAACGTGACATAAAAAGGTCGTTCAATTTTGTCAGCTCTGGATTTTTCCTGCAAACACTTTGGCACAAAAACAGAGTTTAGGTCATTGTCCGAAAGAAGAACAGACTGATTTAAAAACAGAACTTTTAAGAGTGAGGCTGAGTTTAATCTAGCATCCGAGGCCCAACCCCCGGGCCTAGGACCGGTCCGTGAGTCGTTTGGTACCGGGCCGCGAGAGTTCAGGCTCAGGTGTGAAATGTATAGTTTTCAGGGTTTTTATCGTTTTTCAGCGTTATGTTGTTATCGTTTTTATTGTTAACTCGGTCTTTCTGGGTCTTTTCACGTGTGTTATGAATAAATTTCCTTTTTTTCGGTACCGGTACTAGTTTTATTTTGTTGCATTTATCCGCGACACCTTAAAGGCCGGTCCGTGGTGCAAAAAAGGTTGGGGACGGCTGTTATAAGGCACAAAGTGATGAAAAATAAAAATTTCACACATTAAAATATCTGAGTTTGGTAAACCACAAAATCTTGGGAAATTCAGACAAACATCCACTGCAGCTTTACTCTATTATTTTAAATTACTCAACACTTGTTTCAAATTTTGGATTTCTCCCTAAAGCTTCTGACAGGCAGATTTAAGTATTTAACCAGGTTTCCAAAGCTGGGCTGTAGTAAGTCTTTGCTATAACTGAAACCTGGCTGCACAGAAGGCCGCTTCAGTCAGAAAAGCCCAGATAATTATTGGATTTCATTTTGTTAGTACTAAGATGGAGATTACCATCATGTTAATATAAATCAACCAATAAAAAGGTCAGAAGGCATCTTCAATGGGACTCAAATCTAAGGACTACATTTGTCCCATTTTGTGGTCGTGGAACACTAAACTGAAAAACTTCATTTCCCCCCATTTTTATCATGACGAGTCCCATGTGAGGGCAAAGTACACACAAGAACACTGTGGGTAAAGATAAGAAGGCCTTGCTTTAGTAAAGCAACACTTCATGCAGTTTGGATCAGACAGGTTTGAAACCTGAGAGTCCAGGCCAAGCCTCAGGTACTGCTCCAAAACTATGTTAAACTTTGCAGCTTTCAGCAGTCCTCCACCTGAAAGCTCTCAGCCTGTCTGGTCTTTACTCTGCGCGTAGTCCTGTTTCATGTTCACGGCCCCCCTTTTCTGTCCTGACCAATGCTCTTTACCATGCAGTATAAAATGATCTGAAATAAAAGAGGACTAAACAGCTTCTGAGTTTACCTTAGCATGTCCGTGCTTGCCGGTCTTGGAGGTGGACATCTCCACAATTTTGCAGGGACGACCCTTCAGCACCACGTAGCCGTTCTTACGCAGAGCAGAGCACTGCATGGGGTAGGTGGCGGAGGCGCCAGACTCACCAGTCTGGAAATCGAGATCGGGATCTGCCATGGTGCGATGGGTCTGGGGCGCTGGTGGAGACAGTTACACATCACTTACCCCGAAATCAAGCACAGAAAACTATATCGACAGAGTTCCACACTAAGCAGTCACAGGGTTAGGTTCTCGTGGAGAAAGACATGGCATTAACATGACAGCGAGCAAAAATCAGAAGGTAACCTGACCTAGTCAAGTGTACACTTGAAACAGATGACCACGTTCAATACACCTCTTACATCTGTCCAACAGCATCCTGATTTCAAAGCTTCTGATGTAAAGTGTTACGGGGAAAAACCCTGTAAAATGACCCAGTAATTATTCCACTTTCACACATTTGCCAAATTGTGGTCAAATTACAACAGTTTTGGCATCCCTGACCCTGGTCAAATATAATAGTTGTTCTGTGCATAACAGGATTTAAAGTGTCAGCGTTGGTGTTTTCACAGTAGTTAATGAGGGAAAACATAAATCTCATGACAGTCGTCAACAGCAGCCTGATGTAGACGGAGTCCTGTGAATTAAATGTTTGCAAAGCACTAAACTAACTCACCTTGACACCGATTACACTACCTTACTATTGACTGGTGTCATTTGGCACTATATGAATAAAATTGCAATGAAATATTTCTTAACTTATAAAAAAAAACCCAACAACTTAGTTCTCTGCAAATTTCTGGGCTTGTCAAAATTTGTAAGAGTTTAATGCTTGCTGGAAAAACATTGATTCTACTTCAACTCAGCTGAAGTTTAAAGAGGTTTCATGATATTTAAACATGCCTGATTGTGGCTTTGATTTTGACCCAATGTAAACCACAGCCCCCGACTGCTTCCCCATTTTTAAAGGGTTGAAACACTACCTTGGGCATACATTGATTAAAAACAAGCAATTTAATACAGCCTTGTTTAATATATTAACATTAACACCAAAGAAAAAGCAAATTAGGGGATTTTGCTGCAAACATCGCAATTTGTAAAAATTACGTAAAAAAAAAAAGAAAGTGTTTCTACTTTAATAAATCTGCTATGCTCAGCTGAGTTTTGAGCCACTTTAACAGTTTTCTTTCCTGCTTTGATTTAGACTACCGCAGCCTTTTCCTGGGCCCCACAGAGCTCTCTGCTACTTTTAGGTAGATATCGCGAGATTTCTATTGTAAAATAAATAAATAACTAAATGAATAAAGGTGCAGTCCTCTTGATCTGCTGGGAAATTAATTTGAGTGTGATCCGAGTTATACATTTTAAATATCCAATTTGAAAAAGAAAAAAACAAACCCCTAAGCTCCGCCGAAACGTGGACGTCGCCACCCCGGCTCGACACGAGGCTGGACGGCTGCGCCACTTCTCAATCTGCCGCAGCAGTTTTATCGCAAATGTTAGCAAGCCCAGTGGACGCATGAAGTTCAAAGTCAAAATTCACTCGCAGCCACTTCTTCGCCCCATCGGTGCTACATAAATAAATTAGAGGTTAATCTTTTAATGATCAGAAGTTAAGCTGGCTCAGAGTTTACAAATGTAACATAGCGCTGTGAAGACAGCAGAGAATAGTGCATCAAACGCTAAAATTAGCACGTATTATTCTGGATGTTTTGGTTTATAACCATTTATTGCAACGCTATCGGGACAGGATTTCGATGCCGCGAGATTTGCGGCTGGCCAACGTGCGCTGCTTTTTCACAAACACCAAGTCCCGTTATCCGAGCTAACGCGCTGCTAGCGGCGGCTAACCGAGCTAGCCGTCCATTCAGCTCGGTCCAAATAAAGGCGCGGATTAATATCGGATCGACAGCGGACCGGGTACAAACCATCAGTCTGTTTTTTCCTGATCGGCCCGCCGGGTCGTCGGTTAACAGTGCGGATTTTAACCGCGAACCGAAGACAAGAGCGTTAGCGCGGAGAATGACAAGCAGCTTCCACGGAGCGCGCCGCCGAAGGCCGCATGTCCCTTTGATTCAGCATGCTAGCGCTAGTCGGAACATGGACACCCACACCCTACTCTGCCACCGACTACATCCACCGGGAAACCGACTAACTACTCCCTCGGCATCTCAAACCAGTACATGACTACTTTAATATCTCTGAAATCGTTAATGGGTCACCTAAAAACCGCTAAAGTCCACCGTTTATCCCCCCCAAGGCAGCAACACGCGCCATGCCACACTTACCTTCCAAGAAAAAGAGGACCTAAAGTGCGCATGCGCGGCCAACTTGACTGCAGCATCCGTAGAGGAAGAAAGGAGGGGAGGGGCGTTTATGTGTTCCGGTAGCAGCCTGGCAGAAAGGGATGCCAAGTCTGAGGGAAACATGGCAACCCGGGTGGATTACCACGGCCAAGAGAATACAAAAATACTAATTTAAAAAAAAAAATCCTGGTAATGTACTTACACAATGGTATGGATTAGATTTAGGTTGGCTAATATTTTGTTAAACACGAGGTATTTATTTCTAATACTTAATATTGGGCATGAGGTCTTTTTATTACAACAAATGTGATGTACATAGCTTTAGTAGGTACAGAGGGATAAAGTTGATGAGTCATACCATGACGATATGGGAGAGTTACTGAAGGTAGGTTAAGAAAAAAGGTAACGATCAGATCAGCAGAATAGCTTCATGCATGTCTGAGGGTGGTGCAGGGCACTGAGACAGTGGGGAGGTGTGCTGTAGAAGTGACAGGCCTGGTTTGAGTCCCTACATGTTTGCAGTGATGGTGCACAGACTGACAGATAAGGTCTGTCAGGAGGCTCTGTGGACTATGGTATTGCAGATGATATTGTGAGCTGTAGTGACAGCAGGGAGCACGTGGCAGAGAGGTAGAGGTATGCACTGGTGAGAAAAGGGATGAAAATCAGAAGAAAAAAGACATTTATGAATGACAGGGAGATCGGTGTAGCAGTGAGGCTGCAAGGAGCAGAGGTAGTGAAGATAGATGAGTTTAAATACCTGAGGTCAACCAGCCAAAGCAATGGACAGTGAATAAGAGAGTGCAGGCAGAGTCAAGTGGGTGCAGATGTTTATTTGTGACAGAAGGATAGCAGCAAGACTGAAAGGGAAGGTTTTCAAGATGGTAGCGATGCCTGCTGTGATGCATGAATTGGACACGGTGGTACTGACAACAAAAACAGGAGGAAGAGCTGAAGATGTTAATTAAAACATCAGAGGAACAGCTCAGGTTGAGAAGCAAGGCTGTGATGGTTTGGATGGTTTGGACATGTGCAGAGGAAGGACTGGGGTTATAATGGACAAAGGATGATGAAGATGGAACTAGCGGAAAGGAGGAAGACCTCACCTCAGAGAAGGTTCATGGATGTAGTGGAGGAAGACATGCAGAACGTTGGTGAGGTGTTTTGTTGAACCTTAATAAACTGCTCCTAGATATTTACATCACCTAGTGGCAAGAATAAATCGCCATTAGGCGATCATATACATGACATTCGTATTCATGTATAACATAGAATCAGTGAATTTTCTCTAACGCCTCCTAGTGGCAAAACTCCTTCCATCTTCTTAGGACACTCCTCACTCCTTAGTACATTTAAAGTACTGATAAATATGTAAAGATCCTTTTACTCTGTAGATGCTATGAAGTTTAAGGTCTCCATCCATTAGTTTGGCTTTAACCATATGTTGCTCCAACACAACACATTCAGCATTAATGGTGCCCTCACAGTTAGCCGAGAAACGTGTACTAATGCCCCTGATCCCATCAGGGGTACTGGCTGTGTGATGTCCTCTTTAATTCTTTGTGTGCGGTACGTTTCTGAAACTCTGTTATTTTGGTTTTTTGTAGTCACTTGGATGAGTGGCAGAACGTTTCTCCCGCTGAAAACGTTACATCCTGATGAACAGAATCAACGTTTTGGGATTTCCTTACCTGGATCGAGCATGCATTAAGACGTTACATGGTAGAGTGTGAACATAATGTGCAGATGCACTGAGCTTTGGTCACTCTTGGTGGTTCTCTGTAGTTTCCCTGAAGCCCATGCAGTGACCAGCTCAGTGTTTGATGGATAAAGGAACATGCATGTGTCTACAGTTAAAAAGGATTTGGCTACTTCCTGATTTATTTATTTGAATCTATTTTGCACATTTGTCACACTTAAACATGTCTGATAAAACAAATTTTAATGTTAGTCAGAGAGGTGCAGTCCTCCTGATCTGCTGCCCAGTTGCCTCTTAAACTAGTTGTGCCTCCCTCACCAGTAAAAACTGCAAACAAGTGTTTGTGATAATGGACAACAAGTGTTTCACATCACTGTGGAGGAACTTTGGCCCACTCTTCTTTGAAGAAATGTTTTAATTCAGCCACACTGGAGGATATTCCAGGATGAATGGGATGTTTAAGGTCATCCCAAAGGATCTCAGTCAGCTTTAAGTCTGGACTTTGACTCGGCCAATCCAAAACCTTCATTTTGGTTTTTGAGCCATTCAGAGCTGGACCCACTGGTGTGATTTTGACCATTGTCCTGCTGGATAACCAACCTGCTCTTCATCTTGACAGCCTAACTGATAGTGGGACATTCTTCTTCAGGAATGTTGACTCAGATTCTCACCACAAAGGGGCAGCTTTAAGTCTGGCAGCTTTTTTCCCAACTAGGTGTTCTGATGTTTTCAGATGACACGCTCTTGTTCTTTAAACGTTCCTTTTAGCTCTACTTCCATTTCTTCAAGATGCTTTACTTTTTTGTCAGTGGAAATAAAAACGTGTTCTTTATAACTTGCCTTGTTAAATAAAGCTTACATTGAATAACAACACCATCTGGTACAAATTGGTATTACCCTAAAGTACAGCCTTGCCACATTCAGTTATCTTTTTAACAACATACATGGATGTTTCGTACATAAAGTCAATTTTTCCAGACCGCTTTGAATATATAGGAAGGCAACAATAACTTAATTAACGAGTTGTTACAACCAGGGTGTGCAGAGGAGCACAAAGCTTGCAGCAGATGTGCAACAGCAGCAGAAGACCACGCCCATTGAGCCTCCTGAGGTTACAGACCACACAGGTTCACTAAAAGTTAGCCACAGAAGAGTGCAAAAATGTTGCCTGGTCTGCAACATTCAGATGGAAGAAAGGTAATTTAACTGACTTTGAATGTGGCATGGTTGTGGCGTCTGAATTTGGCTTAACATGAAATAATGGCTCCATCCTGCCTTGTATCAGCGGATTCAGGTTGGTGGTGGTGTGAGGGATCATTTGTCGGCACACTCATGGATGTGAAGCCAACAAATCTGCAGCAACTGTGTGATGCTTTCATCTCAATCTGGAACAAAATCTCTGAGGAGTGTTTCCGGGACTGTTTGTGAATCTGTGCTGCAGCCTGTAGAAACTCTGGGACTAAAACAAATGAATGTTTTTCCTATTAGGTCTAACGTCCAGTCTTTATCTCACTCAGAACACAGAAGCTGCCGTGTGACTCGGGTATGAATAAAGAGAGCGGGTCAGGTGTGGTTGCTGTACAAGGAGAGGACATTTATTGTAGAATTCCCAACACCACAGATGCGTGTTACCAGGTCGAGGTTGTCTTTTGATTGATTCCAGTGATTCAGACGGGGTGAAAACTCACATGCATGTCACACACCTGTGCACACACCTGTGCACACACCTGCTCACCTCCACGCACGCGCACACACACGCACTCACGCACACTCAGAGGCTAACAATCGTACATATGTTCACAGTCTTGATACGTACAAAAATTGAAATACAAATACAAATAATACCACAATAAAAACATTGTACTGTTTGATTTTTTTTTAGAAATTCTTATAGCTATGTTCTCTATTCTGTAGAAAGACAACTATGCTTTAATAAGTGAACATTATTTTTTTGTCTTTCTCTAAAATGATCAGTAGGATATCATCATCATAACGAAAATTCTTACAGTATATATCTCTTTTTTTAATCTATGGTTTCTCAAGCTGACCCTGCCTCCTGACCTTTATTCACAGGGTGCTGCTAACATCCTGCACATGTAAAAGGCTTCAGCTGGCCTTAACGCGCCATCACTCGCCCCCTCCACCATCTCTTTTAAAAACAGCAAAAGAAGATCAAGTAAAGGATGGAGCAGCTTCCTTCTATAAACACAAGCGCGTACAGTCAGCAAAGGCTCAGCTCCAGCCTTTAAGAAGACGCTCCTGCTCGCTCTTTACCAGCTGCACTCTGGAAATGATCGTGAACATAAAAACTTTAATGGTAAACGTGTGACCCTCCAGTGTGCAGTTCAGCAGATAAAAGCCCAGCTGTTGTTTTCAGCTCAGAGATGTAGGGTACACAGTCAGACGTCCCCCGCCCCACCGCGTATTGCCTCAAATTTACAACTCATAACAAGTAACGGCGGGTAAAAAAACATGAATGCCATCATGCAAAAACGAAATAAAGGCAAATGAATTATGGAGAGAAAAATCCAAACGAAACTTTTGAGTTTAGTCCCCCTAAAGCGTCGACAGATTCACAAAGGGATGAGCCAGAAAATAAAGGATAAAAAGCTAGACTGTCATTATTTTCTTTGTCTGTCCTTAACATCAAAGTGAGTATTTACACGAGTGCACACAGCAGCGTGGACAGACGAGAGTAAAAACTTCCAGAAGGTGGCGCCTACTCTACAGCTGAGTTCTTCCTGTGAGAAAATGACGGGAATACTTTTGTTGTTGTGTTGCTGTTGCAGCAATGGTACAATATCTACAACCTCCCTCCCCCTGCTGGGAACAAACCGGGACAAAGCAGCCGGCTGTGCAGCAGCTCCGCGACACTCGCTGCTCGTCTGAACTGTTGTAGCCTCCAACGGGGAAGAACAGCAGCAGCATCAGTGTTCACACTGTGAGAAACGCCGTCTGCACGGCCTCGTGGTTTCCTGCTGGAACAAAGAGCTACATCGGTCTGAGACAAAACATTTAACCAAATCGCCATCGTTATCGGCGTGACAACAAGCAGCTTATCCACACTAAGCCTGGGTGTTTTAGAATTTCAACACACACATTTGTTGGTTTTTGGAAGCACCGATTCAGCTTCTTCCAGTTCACATATAAGACACAGCTTTGGCTCTGCAGGTTTGCACATCTGCAGATAGATTCCAGTGTTAAATTCATAACGTGTATTAGCCACTGTGAGGAAGAGCCTTCATGTTTGAGTCTTTCCTCCATAAAGATGACATCTGACGTCCTCCCCCGTATCCTTAACGGGTTCTGACACCTCAATAATACCAATAAACATGTGGTTTGATCACCATTGAAAAGGTTCTTTGCTTTTCAACCCAGAAGCTGCCTATACTGCCAATACAGCTCTAGTAAGCTGCAGAGGCCACAGTGATGCACACCCAGTGCTTTTGTTCTCGACGCAGGCCTGAAATATGACAGAAGCTGCTCACATAACAGAAAACATGCATCCGAGGGGGACAGCGTCAGGGCTCGACTCAGACTTTGCTCTCTTCGGTTCATAGAACGTGTACTGAACGGGTGTGGATCACTAAAAAAATCAAAATTATTACTGATAAGCTCAGTGTGAGCGTCTATTTTGCACTCGGCCATCATTTCTCATGTCAGCACAGTCTCATAACAAAACACGAAAGTCGTGACAAGGCAAACTGTTTTTGTCATGTTCATGGACACAAACTGTCAGGTTATTTTTATGAGCCCAGACTGATGAAAGTAAGGGTTAAAAACAGGGTTAGATTTGTCACCACAAAACTGTAGCTAGATTTGTCTCTGATTAATAGAAAGCTTTGAGACTGTGTTAGTCATTTAACCTCCTCAGACCTGAACTCTTCCACGGCAGCATGTTTAATTTCTCGTTGATGTTTGGGCTGATTGGGTCCTGATGATTATTTAAACACAGAATTACCAGATTTTTTTTTTACCTGATTTTTGTTTCTAAGAAACATCAGAGCCACATATGAGGATATTTGTTTAAAATTTCGATACAACAGTGGCAGTAAAACGTCCTCGTAAGTGGATATCAGGCCCTTGTAGAGCAAAATTGAGTATTTTGGTCTAAATAAGCCACACCTGTGGACGCCAGGTCCTGGGAGGTTAAGGTCACACTAATTCTCTTTCCACTGCGTCATTCACATCTCTTCCTCTGCTTGAGGAGAAACTAACAAAACAATTTCTCTCTGAGGATTTTTTAACTTCTTCTAAAGCCTGAAATTCTTTATTTGAAAGATTCTGCAAAGCGAGTCGCTTTTGGCTATAAATAAGTCTTTGCCATGATCTCTGTTCTTTTAACACTACCTTAAATAAAGCCATCTGTGCGCACCCCTCTCACTTCTTACTGAGTCAAATGTGCATCGAGACAAAGGAAGGCGATTATTTCGAGGGACTAGTTTGTCTCAGCAGAAACTTAAAGGCAGCCAGAAACCACGTTGTGTGCAGGTGACAAAACATCCTCACGATCGTCAACGTTCATTTGGTGGCGCTCAAATCCACAAAACTGTCAGATCCAGCAGGCTTAGTGTGGACGCTCGTGCTTCTAACCTAATTTAATCACAGTATAAGAAGCAGTACCAGCTTTCACTGCGACACGCCAAACCACCTGCCGCTGTGCCCGCAGTGTGAACACTGCTGTGATGTAAAGTCACTGATGTGCTACACTCTCTGCAGCTCCTCACTCAATCGAACGGGGAGGTCGAAGGCTACTCGGCATGTCCACAGCAGCCGTTGGCCTGCAGGGGAGGAGGAGGCGTCGTCCGCCGACAGCACGAGGAGTCGCCTTTGCTCAGCAGGCAGTGGCACCATCCGCGGGGGCCCTGTAGTGCCCCCTGCAGCTGGAGGGGGGGTGTGTGTGGGGTGGGCCCACTCCTGCAGTTTTCTCCTGATGCTCAATTGTCCGTTTATCCACAAACACACGCACGCACACACATTTACACACACATACGCCGTCCTCCTGTCATCCCTCCATCCCTCAGAGGCCAATGTTCAGGGTGAAGAAAACAAGGGTTGCGGGTCCAAGAGGTGGAAGGGTTACCAGTTCATCATGGAGCTTCTGTTGAGGGTCATGAAGAAGACTTGACTGCTGCCTCCAGAACGCACCGAGGCGAAGAAGACCTGCAGGGAGAGGGCAGCACGTCATACAGGTGTGTTTCAGGTGTGGCGCCTTCGCTCGTGTGCGCTGTGTGTGCACAGACTCACCTTGTCGTTCCTCTCCGTCAGGAACTTCAGTCGCTGAGCTCGCTTGTGCATGAAAACTCCGTCGAGGTGTCCCGTCTCCACGGACCGGATCTCAATGGCCTTCTCTCCCCAGCCCATGATCTGATTGGAGTGGATGTAGGCTGCAGGGGAGGAAAGGGTGCACACGCGCACACACACACACAAACACACACACACACAGAAGGGGGTTGGACAGGAGAAGACTCAGCACCAGTCTCACACCCAGGCCAGTCACACCTCGAGGCCTCCTCCGCCTCACTTCCGGGAGATTATTGCAGCAGTTTCTGACGTGAACGACCAGCGTTGGGAGAGACGCGTCGCAGGCCTGCTGTCTGGCAAACCTCGTCGCTTTGATGTAAAGCAGTTATCTGAGCTGCCACATTGCACCGGGCTGTCCAGCAGCAGTGTCATTACAGCGTTTAAGGGCAAAGTCAGCCAATCGGAAAACTGTAAGAGCAGAACCCAGTTTAACCTAGTTGCAGGATTAGGGAACACTGTGAGTCCGCAGGGTGGAGGCCAGTAAATGATGACAGCTCGCCCAGCTGTGCACAGCCGTGGCCTTTTAAAATGAACACTCCCCTAAAATGATGGTGAAGTCTCAAGAAGGTTTAGCGGGAAATGTTTGTTTGTGATGTGCACTACAGTGGGAACGTTCAGGATCTCCTTATTTCTGCTGTGTGAGGTTTCTCTGCTTTATTCTGTTAATGCTGCCTCTCTCAGACCAGCGCGCTCTCAGAGGAAATGAACCTTAATCTCAAGAGTTTCACTTGCTGGTTGAATGAGGGTTAAAAAAGATAAAGAGATAAATATTTAAGCCCCAGAAGTTTCAGCTTCTTTTTTAAATCATAAGAAGAAGTTTGATTTTATAGATTTTATTGTGTTGCTTAATTTCTGATAAAAGTGAGAAATGGTAAATGGCCTGTATTTGTATTTGTAGAGCACTTTACTAGCCCCTAAGGACCCCAAAGTGCTTTACACATCCACCCATCCACACACTGGTGATGGCAGCTACATTGTAGCCACAGCCACCCTGGGGCGCACTGACAGAGGCGAGGCTGCCGGACACTGGTGCCACCGGGCCCTCTGACCACCACCTGTAGGCAACGGGTGAAGTGTCTTGCCAAAGGACACAACGACCGAGACTGTCAGAGCCGGAGCTCGAACCGGCAACCTTCCGATTACAAGCTGAACTGCCAACTCTTGAGCCACGATCGCCCCAGAAGATCATAATTATAAATCTATATATACCTTTTTACCAGTTTATTTGTTTTACATTTATTTCCCCCTCATAGTGGATGTGTGTAACACTGTGTGAGGAAAAACTTAAATTATCACTCAGATGTATCCTCTTCCTGTTCACGCCCCAAATGACCTGTATAAATATACAGGATGGAGCTGATTGGGTGTAAATTTTTTCTCTCTACTCCAGGGGTCCCCAGTCCCAGGCCTCGAGGGCCGGTGTCCCTGCAGGTTTTAGATGTGTCCTTGATCCATCACAGCTGATTTGAATGGATAAATGACCTCCTCAACATGTCCTGAAGTTCTCCAGAGGCTGGTAATGAACTGATCATGTGATTCAGGTGTGTTGACCCAGGGTGAGATCTAAAACCTGCAGGACACCGGACCTCGAGGCCTGGAATTGGGGACCCCTGCTCTACTCTATTACATATGTTACTTGCATGCTGTGTGCAGTATAGTTCTTGATCAGGCTGATGAAGGTTAATTAATAAATGTTGCTGGACTTTGACCTCTTTAGATCTTTGTTCTGTTTCATGCACTTTCACAGTGCAGTGAAGTTGTGCCAGAAGTTTCCATTTCATTTATATTAATGCGTCACCAGAATACTGGAGGGAAAGTCCCTAAACTACAAGCTCAGGAAAAGTGGCACTAATAGATGTTTTGATATCTTTTCTTTTATCAGAAGTTATTAAAACCGTGTTCAGGCCGGTCCACCTGGTCACCCAGGGTCAGTGCAGCTTCTTGGTGCTTCTTTTTATTCTCATGTGGGAGAAAAGACAAAAAGGGTCCCACATACGGAGGATCGGGATCGGTTGGGTGTTTATAAGCGCAGCGGAGAGTTAAATAAGTCAGGCGTTTACGTTTTTATGGGGTGGGGGAGGGGTCGAAGCCGGGCTTGGCTGTGAGACAATCTGGTCTGACAGTTAAATACACAAAAACATGTTAACAGGAGACGATGCCCACACAGAAAATGTGACACGTCAGCAACAGCGCTCCAGGACAGAGACACAGTCACACACGTGTTTTTGTCATTCAGGGTTAAGCACAGAGGAATCTGTAAGAGTGAGGATGGGCGGAGACACACACCAGCTTTGACTGACTTGGATCGTAAGATTCAAGATCCACCCCTCATGCTCGGCTGCGCTCTGATGCACTCACGCTACTTCTAAATAATAGATGAATTTAGATGTGCTGCCCCTGCATTGATCTGGTGCAGAGCTTTCATCTCGTTGCTTTGCTGCTGGATCTCACAAACGTTTTGTCTGGACCGGGTTACTGCAGAGCTCGAGCAATCAAGGATGAAAGGAAGAGCGGATGAGAAAGTGCCTTTTGAAATGTTTCACGGTCAACAACGAGACACAACAAGAGGACAGAAGTTAACACAGCAGACACACGACACAAACTCAATTCACAAAGAAGAACGAGCAGAAAGTAAACGACTTGTGAGAGCTGGGAGTGAGGAAGGCAAAGATCCGCCGCTATCAGCTCATGCAGCCGCTGGATGTTCAACACTTAACGTTAAAGGGATACGTCGAGGTTTTGGGATGTCATACATTTGGTCAACTTACCCCTCGTGTGATGAGAGCACTGACACTAAACTCTCCATGATCCTGGCGTGTGCGTGTTGCTAAAGCTTGCCTGGTTTTAAGCATTTGCAGACACATCGAGTTTGTTGCAATTCCCCCAGGTCAATGCTGGATGTGTGAGAATGTGACCACTGAATCATTTTGTCTACATTTAACTAAACATTTTACTTTTAGTCCTGATCAGTTGCTCGGGTTGCAAAGAGAAGTCAAAATGCAGTGAAGTCGTTGAGAAAATGGCCCTCACTCTCCCCTAATCTCAGTCCTGGTTTCATGTCTTGCTGAATTAAACCTGGTGTTCATTTAGTGAGTTTTGGACCTTACATAAGAAAATAAACCAGGTGTGCTTCAGGGTGGCCACAGTATGTGTTGACTAAAGTGTATGCAGAGTATATTTGTAATATAAAGAGTTTAATCATGATTATCTTTTGTAAAAGTTCAAATAAAGTCACTGCCTCTGAGCCAGCACGGTTACTTTTTCTAAAGCTTGTGCTGATTTTAAAATAAACTGACTTAAATTTTCTCACACGGTAAAGACGTAGAAAGAGGTAACGGAGGCGATGGAGACAGTTTGTTCTCATCAGCTCACTGCTCTGAGTTGACCAAGTGCCCAAACCTGCTGTATCCCTTTAAGCAGGTAATGAAACAGGTGAGTGAGACGACAGTCTGGGCTTCTTGTTTAAAGGTGAAAGCAAAAGGCAAGAAAAGGCAAGCGTGTTGCTTTGAGCGGAGAAGGGGTGTGGTAGATAGTGAGGGTGAAAGATGATCTGCTGAGACCGCTTATCAGAGGTCAGAGGTCAGTGGGGTCAGGGAAAAGCGAGCTGATTGGTTGACGTACCGACGGAGGTGGGCATCTCGCCCCACTGCAGCACCACGTCTTTGGTGATGCGTCCGTAGGTGTTGACGTAGACGCCCTCGTCCTCGTAGCACAGCAGCATCTCCATGCCGTCCGTCTTGGGCAGAACCACGATGGCGTGCGGGGTCACCTGACCCTGAATCTGCCAGGACGACAGATGGGAGGGGGGGGTGTTGAATGGGGTGGGGGCAGGGGTGTTAGGAGCTGGACCCCTCTAACATCCCCCCTTCCCCACCCTGAGAGAGAAGAAACTGCTGCAACAATAAAGCCTCCCGCTCCTCAGCCACGCAATTGCCATGGAAACAGACACGAGCACAGCGTGATTCATGACTGCCAAAAGCAATGAGAGGCGGTTGCTGTGGTTACCGTCTCCTTGGCCCGTCCATCTCTGACTGTAACCAAAGCGGGGTTAAAGGAGGACAGCGATTCACCCTCTGCCTCTGGATTCAAACACCAGTTCATTCACTCACTCGCTGAAACATTTCCATCTGTGACTTACAGCCTCTGCTCCTCACACATTCCTTTGTTCTCTTCATCACTTCTGTTCTGGGGCTGTCACACACTCACCATTTCATTTGTTCTGCTATTAGCTCATTCATCCTCACATTTCCTCACACGTTCACTCCTTAAATCACACTCATATTAAACATGCAGTCAAACACAGTTACATATAAAGTACATATGCAGTCATGTTTACAGCACATTGATTCACTCGGTGTGATCTACTGTAACCACAGCTGCTATCTGTCTGACCTCGGCCTAACTGGAACATCTGAATGAATTATGGGGGCGTGTCCCCACAGTGCCTCGCACCAGCTTTAACAACAACAGCCAAACTTAACCTTAATGTTACCTAAAATAAACTTTTAATACTTTTTGGGGTAAAGTCAGAAAACTTTTAAAACATTTGTTATGGAATTACCAGTTTAATTCCCTGTAACCACTGAAATTGAAGTTATGGCTCTCTCCTAATTCTTTTACATTGGGCTTTATCATATTATGAGGACATGTTCCCCGAAGGAAGGCAGGTCCCTGTACGTGCACAATAGAGGTTCACAGCTGTTTTCAGAGAGCGTACTGTTGTGAGACCGCGTACATCCATAGTAGGAGTGTTGCTTTTGTGGTGGGAAAGATTTACACCAGGAGTGGGCAACTCCAGGGCCGATGTCCTGCAGGTTTTAGATGTGTCCTTGATCCAACACAGCTGATTTAAATGGCTGAGTTACCTCCTCACAGAGGCTGGTAATGACCTAATCATGTGATTCAGGTGAGCTGACCCAGGGTGAGATCTAAAACCTGCAGGACACCGGCCCTCGAGGCCTGGAGTTGGACACCCCTGCCTTACAAAGTGATTCACAATGTGAAGAATTGTCCCTGAAGACAAGCAGCAGTGTATTAATACCAGCACACACACACACACACACACACACACACACACACACACACACACACACACACACACACACACACACACGCACATACACACCACTGCCTCAGCCTAAACCTAACCCAAGCCTAACTTTACCCTGAGCTACAACCAAGTCTACAACACAATTACTGATTTACTTTGTGGAGACCACCAGTACACAAACACACACACACACACACACACACACACACACACACACACACACACACACACACACACACACACTTACATGTGAGGGGATGTAGATGTCGTAGGGATTTCCAGAATCCACATCAATTACATGGAAGCCAACACTAGAGCCGTAGATGACCTTTAACCTCTGCCCTTCCTCTACAGTCAGGTCCACCAGCTGGGGGCGATGCTGCAGGTCAGTGAAAGACTGGCAGACAGAGAAAAGAAGATTGACTGAGGTTCAGTCATGCACTAAAGCAGCTGGATATAACTTTGTGAATCGGGCGTGTGATATTTCCTCTCTAGTTGCAGAGGACAAATAAAATAAAGAAATACAAAGAAATCAGTATCATGTACTTGTCCAAATATCACAAGACTTAGCTTGATTACCTTGAAAGCCATAAACTTGTGGTAAGGTTTAGGTGCCCAGGCATAGATCTCAACTGAGTTCTTCAGAGCAATCACCAAGAATTTAATCCTCTCGTACTTCACTGCAGAAATAAAGACACATTTTAATGTGAAATCTCAGGATTTCAGCTAAAAAAGATTTTAATTCAACATAAGATATGATAGATATTAATTTCTAGTTTGTTAGTGAACAGGTCCGCACGTCTCCCATAAACGATCTGAACGTACCGACTTTGTAATGCACGCAGCCCTCCAGGTCCCCGACTGTAATCCAACCCTGTTTCTTCTCCACTTCAGGGTCATTGTGTAATATCCTGTTCCTCAGCCAGGACAGGTAGTAAACCCGCAGCTTGTTCTTCTTCCCTGTTTTGGAGGAAAATTCAGAATTCGAATGAAATGATCATTCATTTCCTGTATGGAACAAACATAAATTAAATGGTGTCTGCGTCTTTGTGAGTTTAACCCATCAACTGTGGATCTGTGATGTGGCATTTGGTGAAATCAGCTGCCAACCTGAGATGGTGACCAGGACGTTGAGTCCCTCCAGGACGTCCATCTGTTGGAAGCGCCTCCGATTGATCAGGTTGTAAACTTTGCCTTGACCGCTTCGATCCAGCAGCATCAGGCCGTTCTCCGTTCCCACCAGCAGGTTCACTCCTGCCCAAAACACACACACGCTTCCTTTTTAGCGCCTCTGTATCTGCACGGGATTCAAATTATCACGAGGCTGTTGCTGACGTGACAGTTTTACCCCAGAGAGCCGCACAGAGGATCTCCGAGTTGAAGCGTTTCTTGTATTTACGGATCTCGGGCGTGTCGCTGTGCGGCCTGATGTTAGTGGGGTTGACGTTGACCACGGAGATCTTGCGGGCCTCGTTGAGCCTCGCCTGCTCCTGCTCCTGCTTCAGCAACTCATCAGCAAACAGCGCTGCAGCACAAAGTACAACAAAATGCATCATCATCTCATCTGCAGCTGCCCCATCCCTGAGACAATAACACAATATTTTACACTATTTTTTCATTTTACGCTACTAATATATTGGATTCTATTATTTTAATAATTATAAATTAGACTACATATCTATCTATCTATCTATCTATCTATCTATCTATCTATCTATCTATATATATATATATATAAAAATACTGGCAATCAATAATAACAGATACAAACATGGTTAAGTCAGGATGTGGGTTGCAAAGCAGCTTGCAGATGCATGGCTACTATAGGGGGGGCTAAAGAAACTTTAACCTGAGGTTTTCGAGTTAGAAGCATCAGCAGCACTAACACTATATTTGACCTTTCAGAGGGTAAAAACAGTTTGCTGCCAGGCTGCATTTACTGTACGCCACCGGCTCATGTGACTGATGCTTTAAATTAGAAGAGAAGCCTACCTGAGGCTGAGGTTTTATCATCTTCGTCGGTCGGGGAGGTCCCGTACACCCTCGGATCAACAAATGGCGTGAAGGAGGACTTGGAGCCTCCGCTGCCTCCCATGCCAAACTACAAGCCACAGAAACACAGACTTTACAGTCCAACACGTGTTTGTCAAACATTTACCACGAACAGCAAAACATCTGTATAAAAAAACTGGGATCAAAATATAGGAAACACAAAGATTTTTCTATGAAGTGTCACAAAATATAAACCGGTCCTCATCAGTGTTTCCTGTATTTTGTCAGAGACCTGTATCAGGTGCTCAGAAAAAGGAAAGGGGTTACTTCCTGGATCAGAGGCTGGAAAACTGAGCGAGGGAGGAACAAACGAAGAAGGATCAAACGAGTAGAGCAAGGCAGGTTGAGTCAAACAGGACAGGGCAGGAAATTAAAGGTGCCACTTTTGTTCACATATAAAACTTTTCGGGGGCATCTCACCGTGTTAGATTTGACATTGAGTTCTCTCTTCTTTGAAATCAATTCAGTTTCCTTCCTATAGCTCCAATTCACAACAGCAGCCACCTTAAAGACCCTTTCGTACAGCGTGACTGGCAAAGGATCGAAGCAAAGGATCACTGAGATCCGCTCATCGGAAGTATAAGGAGACAAAACTGAGCGGCCTAAATATATGAGCAGTGTTGAAATCGTTCCAGATGTGCACAAGAAGATGATCTTGTACAAGCGCTCGGTTTTGTGGCCAATCCTCTGAAACTACATATGCACCTTTTATTCATTTAGTCCATAAGCTTCAATAATGTCAGCCTTAAATGTGGCTGCTGGTAATTTCCCACCCTGATAAGGCAGCAGACAGCTGGCGATGGGGAGTGTGGGCAGGTGTCGGGGCGAGCAGGGTTGAGGTTTGTCAGGATACGGGGAGGTTTAGGGTGGAGAGGATTTCAGGGCCGATATCTGGGTGCTGCTCCACCTACTTGGACCCCAGAGGCATCCCCTGGAGAGACCAGGGGGGAGGTGCTTTGCTGCACCAAATCGGGGAGATTGGCGCTGCCATAGAACAGTTTGCCGGGGAAACCGTTGCTGGCGGTTGAGCTCCGCCTCCGTTCCCTGTGTTTCTGGAAAAAGAGAGAGAGGGGCGGGCTACTGTGCAGCGAGGCTGTTTGACAGGTCAGGTGATGGAGGGAGGCGGGACCCATGCAGGTGTGCTTGTTTCAGTGTTATTTTTAAACTGGGGAGGGTGGGCACATGTGCTATCAGGTCTGTGTTTCTACCACGCTTGGCCTTTAACACACACTTACACTGTGGTGAGTCTCTTAGATTGTTTTCTCCAAAACCTTCAGCGGAGTTCAAAGATTATTTGAATAATAATCAGTTATTAACTCTAAACTATGCTTTCAGCTCCAGCTCACTGGCCTAGTGCAGAGGCACAGGTTCAGCTTCACTTTGGGCCATTTTCTGTGCGTTTTCCCCTTACGCTCTGTCCTTTCACAATAAAAGCATATTCTAAACAAACTGTTTAAATCAGTTTGTTTTGCAAAGCTGATTTTGAATCATATCTGAGATTTGAGGGCAAGCTGTGTAAACAGACCACGATCACTGCCCTCTACTCAGTAAAAAAGCAACAAATCTGGTGCAGAGATGATGAGTGTCGGTTTCTGTGCAGTCAAGGTCAAAGGTTAAAACGGAGACTCACCTCACGCATCACCAGGGTGCTGTCCTGGGAGCTGTTTGCATACGTGTCCTCGTTGGTGTCGTTGTGCTCTCCCGCTGTGCCGAAGGACTCGTTGGTGCTCTGACTCGCAGCGGGCCTGAAAAACAGATTTTTATCATCTTTTAAGAACTTTTTTAAAATGTTTTTTTTTAAACAGACGCATCTGACTTTAAAATAAGAGCTTAACAATTTGAACAGATCCGTCTTCTGGGTTATATATGTGATAATGACGTGTAGAGAAACAAGTAAGAAGTACAAAAAACCCACTCAGTACTGCATAAATACTGCATATATATCATCTTGTGCAAGAGGGGCTTGAAGCTGTTGTTTCACAGTGAAACACAGAAAAGGAAGGTTTGCCAGATGAATGATGAGTGTAGCACAGAGCTGCAGACTTTGGGAAAACAAGGGGAAAACACAAAAGTCGCCTCTTAACTGCAAAACAAGTATCGGCCAAATGTTTGTGAAAGCAAACCGTCCTCCGAGCTGCACTAATAGCGCTGTGCATCATTAGCCGATGTGCATCCTCCTGCGTAACCCTCATAATGACCAAAATTTACAAAATGGACTTAATGGTTTGCTCAATATGACCTGAAATGGGTGACTGAGCCCATAAACACACCTGGAAAATGTTGTTTTTCTTTGTTTGCATTCAGAAGAGTCGCCTCCTGGTGGCTATTATTAGAAAGAATCCAGACTTACGGCACTTCCTGTTGGGTTTCTGTCGTTTCCTGTTTTATTTTGTAAAATCTTACAAATCTTACTGCTGTTAGTGTTCCCTCCTCTGTGATTAAATGCCTCGCCCTAACTGCCTCTAACCATTTGCTCCATCGTTGTCCTTTTTAGCTGCAATTTTTCCTGCGTGTTTGAATTCTTTATGTACTTTTGTCTGCGCCTTATTTTATGGCACATTGACTGATTGCCTTTGACCTCACCCAAAGATCAAACCTTTGTGCTTCCTGCAGTTGGATCCTCAGCGCCTGAGCTGCATCCATCCTTTACAAAATCCATTTTATTAAAAAATGATTAAGAAACATTTCTTACAGGTGTTTCTTTCCGTCTCCGTGCTCAGACCTAAACATTAGCTGGTATGCTCTGTGGTCGTGCTCTTCGTTGGTTTGGATGCAAAGCTATTCCTGAATTATCACCATCACTCACATGATGCGTGGGATATCACTGACGGCCACAGATCCATCGTTAGCCCCGCCCTCTCCCTCCTCATCCTCGCTGCTGTGGGACTCCTCACTGGACGACGAGTAGTCAGTCACTTTGACCGGCGGGCGGCTGGTTTCCTCGCCCTGCCGCAGCTCTCTAAGCTCTTTGGCCAGAGCCGTCAGATCCTGCAGGAAGACAAATTCAAAAGTGACTCAACACTTATTTATTTTCTTCATTTCTGTAAGTCAGTAGTGTGCAGGTCCAAAATGATCATGCAATAACTATTTTTGTCTTTAATAACTTTATCTTCTTATATATCCGGCGTGTGGCTTCTTGGAGGTTTAAATACCATAAATGAAAGGAATTCGGTCCATCTATGAACGTCTGTTGTAGCTTAACTATCACGTCTAAAAAGCTCTGCTAAGCTGTTCCAACACCACAAAAGCACAACTCTCAGGTGTGAAGACAGATTTGCATTTCATTAAATTTTAGATTAATATCACACTGAAAATAAAGTGTTTAATTAGCCGAGTAAGAGCGTTGATGATGGAAAAGTAATTTGGCAGCAAAAGCAATTTTAATTTTAAACGATATTTCAGAATTCACTTGCTCGACACCAGAGACCAGACGAACTATACAAGTTGTCTGAGAGAAAGATTCACAACAAATTCAAGGCAGGAAACATTTTTACAATAAAGAAAATCACAGTAATATAAAAACACAGCGATCAAAGAGGTGAAACAAAGCTGACCTGAGGCGACGTTTCCTTAAATCAATCATTTAAGGAAATGCATTTTTACACAAAAATCTCACAGTCTGTGCTGCAAAGTTTGAGGTGGAACAAAGTGAAACATGCTATCACAAACATCTCTCATCATCCTGGATTATGCCCCCCCCCCACAATAAAAAAAGCTGCATGTCTGATATTCCTCATTTTGTGCAATCCTGGAACGCTTCAGTGACTCTCGCAGCTCTCCTGCCTCTTTGCGGCGCTGCAGCGGCTCAGAAGCAAAGAGCAGGAAGCAAATGTGTTTTTGGTTTTTGTGCCACCATGCAAGCCGTTAGCGAGTCCGTCGAGAGGAGGACGGTGAAGTGAGAGAAGGAGGATGCACCATGCCTCAAAGTGGGAGGTCAAAGTTCAGCAGACTTGAGCCTCTGTGATATTTTACAGCGAGCAGTCAGGTACATGCACCCTGACGCCTCATCCAGCTTCTGTGCACTGCTGCAAACACGTCACAGCAGCACCAGTTTAAACAAGTTAGAAATGTTTGGCGATGGTTTGAAAAGCAGCCGATATCCTGTCTTTACAGCTGAGATGCTCTTTGCAACATTTTCCTGTTGTGAAGTTTAATACGACAGTAAATGTTTCTCTCTGGATCACAAGAATAACCAAAAGCTTCTCCTGTAAGACCTCCTTAATGCATTAAACCTTCACACGAGAACTCTGCGCAGCACTGTGGTTTCACTGTGAGCCTCACAAACCACGTACAGGAGGAAAATGTATTATTGGAAATTTAAAACACCCCATAAAACACAAAAAAATAATACACTCATAAATATACAGATAATATATTTATCATCTGTATATTAAATAATGAATAATTTTATAAATTAGGATGATTATAAAATCCATAATAATTTACTACAAAATAATAAAGTTGCTACAAAAATAAGTAATAAAGTAATCATATAAATACAGTAAATTAATCTAAAAATCTGAAGTAATTTTACACATAAAAATAAGGACTATAAAATATAAACAGCATTCTAAAAAATACTATAAATATAAAATATTAATATAAATAAATGTTGAAATGAAGAAAATGTAAAAACAGACAAAACAAACTAAAATATCAGACATCATCAATATAAATATAATAAATATAGGATGTCTTTGGCTATTATTAGAAATGTAATAAGGTGAATATAAACATTTCATTTAAATTACTAGGAACTAAATTCAAAGGATTAAAAGACCAAAAGTATTTCACGCTGCACTCTGTCAGTAAGAAAGATTTGAGTTGTGATTATTTGAACTTTGAGTCATCGTCCAATCCTGATCCTGCGAACGAATCAGAGACTCAGCAAAACAACTACGTGTAAACATCTTCAGTTCACAGCAGGAAAACGTGCACGTGAGCAGTGGGTAGGAAGTGGACCGAGTGAGGGGCGGCTTTGGTGGGGCACGGGGGGGAGGGGGGTCTTACCAACTCCTGGAGAGAAATGATAACAAGGAAGAAAAGGGGGGGGGGGGGACATGTGGAAATGACACAAGTTATAATTATTATTCATAATTATAACTTGTTAAATCCAGACCGAGTCTCTTTGACAGGAAACACAAGGGAATGTTTTCAGACACATTTTCCAAAAGTAAGAAGATTTTTATTGGAAAACAGTAACTTTGGTTTAAAATCAGGATTTTTTAAGACCTTATATTTTGAAACTGATTGAGAATAATTTCAGAAAGAGAAGTTTGGATGATTTTGATAAAGCTTTAAATCTTTTTTGAAATAGGAGAGACCTTTTCTTCTTTTAAAGTTTCAGGAAGTGAAGGAAATTTGGAAAATAAGATATTTCTTGAGAACTTTCTTTGAAAACAAAGACCTTAAATACAAATATAACTTATTCGGTATGAAAACCTGATAATGAATTTAAAAAAGCAGCAGTAATCGATGATACATACATGAGAACAAGTGGAAAGTTGGTGAAAATTAAAGTCTATTCTAAGAAACTTCAAAGCATTTGGAGACAGTTTTCCAAACTGTGTTTTTTATTCATTCAAAGTGAAAATTCACAGCAAGAAACTAAAAATCAAAGGCTTTGCTGGAGGGCTTCTCAGCGAGGAGCATTTACGGCTTTTCAACTTTTCCAGCTCTCATTATTATCTGGGCCGAAGCCTGTGTTAATGTGAGTGAAAGAAATATCACAAGCCGAGCATGATTTTATTCTGAAAGAATCGCACAGGGTAACATCGGGAGTTTATTCAGAACGTATGTGAGGGTGCCAGTGCGGTGAGGTGATGAGACAGAGCGATGAAGGAGGAGAAACATCACTAACCTCGTCTACAGCTTTCTTATAGCTCTGACGGACGATGGAGGAGGGATGGAGGACAGGAAGAGGTTAGTTCAGAGAGAAGAGTCAGTCAGGCTTTCACCGCATGTTTATTTAATGAGTATTCTTAATCTTACGGGGGTTTGTGGCACTGCCACACACAGGAGAGCTGCAGGAGTGTGTGTGTGTGTGTTATACACAGTGTGTACTCACTGCAGGCCTGCTGGGTCGGGTTATCTCTCTGTTGTCGTCTTTGGCGTCGTGGCCTTCAGTCTTAGAGGCTGAATTACCTAAAACCCAAACACAAGAGGATGTTTTTCATAAAACAGCAGAGCTTGCACAAATTGGGGAAGACAGAACGCTAAGAAAGAATTCTAAGAAGCAATTTAAAGGCACTTTTTGTAATTACCCTTTACAAATATCTCCACTAGGGGGCAGCATTTCATCAGTGGGTTTGGTGAGCCTTCCAAAATCCAAAATTATCAACTGAGCGTAAAAAAATCAACTGCTATGACTTTACGTCCAAAACGTCTGTGCATAGGGAAATATAAGGTGAGGTTAGACTTTAACGCAATACCAATTTGTACCACAAGGTGGTGCAACAAGTCAGTGTGACCTTTATTTAATCAGGTTGGCCATTACGAACACAAAGTACCTGTTACCAGGTACTTCTTAGTACCTACTCTGTCGAGGTTCCAAGTGATCCAGGGCAAAAATGTGACGTCAAAAGACTGCAAGCCACCGATTGCTGGTCAGTGGCGTCACTCGATGAGTCATGAGAGCGTCTTGCTCACGAAATCAAAACGGACATTTCTGAAACCTGGCAATGAGTGAAAAGGCCACAAAAACCAACGCCGTGATCCTTGAGTGTGACTAAAAGCTTCAGGCCGAGCAGCAGGTATGTCATTGTTTTAGCGTTCATGTCACATACTAATTATCACAACCTCGGACACGGTACTATAACCAGGACCACGCACACTGAGAAAATGAGGCGAGGCGAGCTGTACCACCTTGAGTCGCGTTGAGCGATGTCGAGTACTAATGGAAAAAATTTAAACTTGTTAAGGAAACAAGTTCAACAAGCATGAAATATTAACGAAAATGAGACATCAAAATATCTAAAAACATCTCAACTAATAAAACGCTGCCCCCTGGTGGTGAGTTTAAGCAAAAAAGTTCCAGAGGGTAATTACAAACAGTACCTTTACACTGAGAGAGACCTTCAAAGGCCTGCTTGGGCGCTCAGACTGGGTTTCGTGGGTTCAGGTCAGGTTTTTGTGAGTTCACAGACAAACTCACCTCGCTCGTTGGAGCCTCCCTGAGAGCTGGGGGTGCTGGAGCTGGAGGAGCTGCCGCTGCTTGTTCTCTTCAGGGGAGTGTCCAAGTACATGTCGGGCCTCCGCAGGTCAGGGTTGCTACAGTAACACAAACGCAGCGTTGCCTCAGACATGACTGTGAACAAATACCCACACCCACATTTCCACCGGTCGACATCGGAGCTGCGCATACCTGGCCCGTATGAGGTGAGCGCCGGCCCGCGGGCCGAGGCCTGGCCCGTTTCCAGGAGAGTTCTTCCTGACCAAAGCCGGAGAGATGGAGGTCGTCCTCTGAGGAACCTGGAAACACAAAACAGCTGCAGGTTTTAACATCTGTCCGGAAGCAACAGGCTAAAAGCTGACATTTTAAAACATCAAAGAGTTTAAGTACAAAACTGAGAGCTGCAAAGGCATTCTTTAATTCACAAAATTAACTCAAAAAGGAAGCAAAAATGAGCAGGATTTTAGTCTGTGCATTACAATTTTAATCAGGGTGATGGGGATAGACTGTCCGTTATCCATTACAAAGTCTGTTTGTCTTAGTCTTTTAGTTTTAGAGCAGTTACTGACATCATTTGGGTGTTTATATAAGAAAAACGTTTGACAGAATTATGCCTCGCTGAGCAGCTTTAACTAAAGCTCATTTCACTGGGATGAAGGATATTTGCAGCACATAACACAAGACTAAAGAGCAGTGCTCTGAAACCCAGGTTTGCATTTAATCTGAACACAATTAATGTGAAGCTAAATACACAACACAATCATTTTAAACACCCTGAGGGCAACAGATCACAAATTTCTGGTAGAAATGTGTGATTTCTACCAGAGTAAGTCCTTTTTTCAAATAGATCATGTTTAACTAACGATAAACTAAATGATAAATACAATCAGAAAACACTCAAAAAATCAAAAAGTAAAGAGAAACTCAGAAAAAGACAGAAAAAGGTAAAAACAGACTTTAAAGAAAAGCAAACTCAGCACACGTGGATAAAAACACACTGGCGGTGGCATGCAGAGACCTTAGGGGGCATGTCGTCGTCCTGCCGCAGCCAGGAGCTGCGGTCCAGTTTGTCGAGGGGGGGCGCCAGGCGGGACAGGGGCGGGGGAGGAGGGGTGTCAGAGGTGGGGTCAGAGTTCTGCCGGGGCATGGGAGGCCGGGAGGGGGAGGGCAACGCCGAGGAGGAGGACACGCCGTGGGGGTCGTACAGGGACTGGGAGCCTGACAAGCCATGACTCTTCACCTGCACCAGGTGGGCCATCTGAACACACACACACACACACATGCGCGCAGGCAGGAAACAGGCAAAGTGGAGGGGAGAGAGCAGGATCAGGACAGAGTGATTAGGAGGCAAGTCAAGAGGAAACAATACAGGAGGAGTGATGCAGAGGAAGGAAGATCAGGTCACGGAGGAGGGAAAACACTCCTCGCAGTGCACTGTGTGTGTGTGTGTGTGTGTGTGTGTGTGTGAGTGTGAGTGTGTGTGTGTGTGTGTGTGTGTGTGTGGTGTGAGTGTGTGTGTGTGTGAGTGTGTGTGTGAGGTGAGTGTGTGTGTGTGTGTGTGTGTGTGTGTGTGTGTGTGTGAGTTGTGAGTGTGTGTGTGTGTGATGTGGTGTGTGTGTGTGTGTGTGTGTGTGTGTGTGTGTGTGTGTGTGTGTGTGTGTGTGTGTGTGTGTACCATAGGACACGAGAAAGTTGTGTATAGGCAGAGTGTGTACATGGCCAAGTAGTGTGTGGCGCGTGAGTGTGTGTGTGTGTGTGTGTGCTGTGTGTGTGTGTGATGTGTGTGTGGTGTTGTGTGAGTGTGTGTGTGTGTGTGTGTGTGTGAGTGTGTGTGTGTGTGTGTGTGTGAGTGTGTGTGAGTGTGTGTGTGAGTGTGTGTGTGTGTGTGTGTGTGTGTGAGTGTGTGTGTGTGAGTGTGTTGTGTGTGTGAGTGTGTGAGTGTGTGTGAGTGTGCTGTGTGGTGTGTGGGTGTGTGTGTGTGTGTGTGTGTGTGTGTGTGTGTGTGTGTGTGTGTTTTTATCTGTGAGTATTTTCTCCAACAGCCCAGCAGACACACAGCGCCTCCTGCTGGTGACGTGCAGCAGCGTTCTGTCCAAACCCAGGAGTTTGTCAGTGTCTCCTGATGTCATACAAACAGGTGCATCACACCTGCAGGACTCAGCTCCTACCAGAGTTTTACTGAAGCTACTCCCCACAGACCGGCTTTACTTGAGCACAGACGGAGGGATGCCAAGGAAAAGTCTGGCATGTTTCCATTACCATCCACTGTTCCCATAACATAAACAGACCCCACCCAGTTTGAGGGGGTGACACCTATAAACTGCTGAAAACTCCTCAGACAAGCTGAGACCCAGAACCAAACTTACTGTTACTGATAAGTAACCCTGCCGACTGGATTGCTGTCATTTTGCATCAGTACTCCATCACAGTGGATTTGAAATCAAACAGTGATTCCAGGCAGGCTTTCACGACGCTTTTATTATTACAACATTTCATGCACCAGTTTTCTTCACTGTATTTATTTCTGATCAAACACTCTCATTCCTCCGGGCCCCTTATTTTAATCTTGATACCTGCTGCCAGCTGGAGGGTCACTCCAACCAGAGCCCAGAGGGTGGAGAGCCACTACGCCGAGCTCACTCCTGCTGCAGATCAGAAAAGACTACAGACGGTGCAGCTGGACCTCCACCACAGCATGAGAGACTCGCTGCAGGGATGGCTGGTGATACTGCAAAGATACATAACTTTCATCTCAAATACTCACAAAGGAGAAACTCGCAATAACTGCTCATCCTGATCCTCCTCCTGCTCTTCATCTATACGATCAAAAGCCGTCACAAAGCTTTGCAACTTTCTAGCACAATGCTGCGTCACCGCCTGCCGACACCGCTCCATCCTACCCGACAATCTCCTTATTAATCTTTGTCTCACTCTAGCTCCTCTCAGACACTTAATCCCATTCACATAAGCCTCTCCTGCACTAATGAGGCCACTCTGCTGATGTTCAAAAGAGCTCAGAGTTTCATTTCAGCTGCTTCGCCTCTGATGAAACCAAAACCCACGTGTGTCCGTGACGATCGGACGCATCGACGACACGGAGCGACCTCGCTGGCTCCAACACTCGCCGATCTTTGAATTCATCACGTTAAAATGCACTCGTGGGCATCTGTGACGGTTCCACAGAAGTGTGGAGGGTTTGTATCTGCATGTGCGTGCATGTCCAGGACACGCACACGCTTCATTCTCTGCAAATATTTTATTTACAAATTTCTTTGTGACAAATAACTGAGAGACATTATTGAGGGGCCTGAACGCTGATCACGAAAGGAGCTCTTCTCACTGATTGATTAAAAAAGAAAAAGCTAAAGCGAGTTAAACTAAACTAAACTGACGGGTCAGAGACGGGCCAGGTGGTGAGTCCCAGAGAACTAGTGAATTCCACTGCACCGTACCAACGTACATATCACACTCAGACAAACACACAAACACAGGTCACACACCTGTGGCTCCATGGAGCGGTGCATGGGCGGAGTCCGGGCCTGCTGGATGCCCCCGCTGCTGAAGGACTCGGAGCGAGGCGGCAGGGTTGGGTCGGAGATCCGGTTGGAGACTTTATGCTGCAATGCAGGAGAAGAGGTTCAGCTTGTAATGTTCCCACACACACACACACACACACACACACACACACACACACACACACACACACACACGTCCACCTGGCAGTGCATCCATGATGAAAGTGCCCTCTAAGCTGTGTGTGTCTGTTCACATGTTTTGGTTTTAAAGCTGATTTGACTGATTTCTTCTTCTGGGAGTTTTCCTGTAGCTCGTTACCAAGTCTGAGACATTTTGTTCCAGTTTTGTTCCTCAGGTAGAAACGAATAATTGTTTCGGGAGGTTAAACTGTGCTTCTGCTGAAATCAGAGGAAACAGCTCGTTCTGTGCAGAGCTAAACGGATTCGTTTAAAAATGACGTCTATTTACTGCTTTTAATGCTCGAAAGATGCAGAAAATGAAGCTGGCTTCACCACAACAATTTAAAACTATAACACAGGAGCAACAGCAGAAGCAGCACATCAGACACATGATAGTGAATGAATCTCTTTGCTGCACAGGTTTATTAACCTGCTAAAGAAGCAGAGTTACTGTTTACAGCTCAACATCGTTTATTGTTTGTGTGCATCTCTGCACACAAACATTTAGATGAACTTCGGTGAAGACTTTTTCTGAAGTACGCGATACACACTTATTCATATTTACATAGATATCACGTTGTTCTGCTCCCAACAGGAAGATGTTTTAGTTCATGTCAAACTGTAAATGAAAACTGGAAGTATCGGACTTAATGAAGCGTTTGATGGATACGAAATAAAAACAGGCGTCATTAAAAGATAACGGCTGTTCTCACATGTGGCTAAACCAACATCTGGAGGTCTGATCTCCAGCCAGCGGTGGTGTCGTTAATTCTCCCAATGACTTGATTTATTTGAGCTTCTGTGGAAATGTTTGTGGAAATGTAATTATTAGTTGGAGCTGAAGTGTGTAGATGGAAAATTGACTCTTTGTATTTGGATTTTTTAAACAAACACATTGATTCATCTAGAAAATCAGTACGTTGGCCTTTACTGAACTTATTACATTTATTATATACTTAACTATTAAGAACATGAAACACTGATTGGGGCATTATTACACATTAAGTATGTTTACTTTTACCTTCTTTGCTATCTTTACATAATTAGATACAAATCCTGTATGAATTTGACCTGAAATGTGTTTTACAGTGCAGTAAAGTGAAGTCTGTCTCAGGGCCTTTTCTCCTGCATTAGTTAAATAAAGAGCTCACATCTGATCTCTTTCCCTCAGTTTCATATTCAGCTGCTGGTTACTGTGGCTGATGATTTCAGCTTGTAAGTCTACAGGAGAAGTTATTTGTCTTCAGGTCAGATAAAAGTGACTTTTTAAAAGAAGTCGTTTTCTGTGTGAATTCAGCTGCTTCTCATTAAATTGTAAAACGCTGTAAGTCTGCTCTTCGTTCCTCTACTGTCAGCTTAACAAACTATCACGTCTGATGGTTTTGAGCTGGCTGCACACGTCACCTGCGGCCCCCGGTGAGGTGCACCTCCACAGGGTCGGTTCTCTCTAAACGGCGGTCATGTGTTTTTAGAGGGGAACATTGTGATGGAAACATTTGCTCTTCTGAAGCTCGAAGGGAAATCCTGGGAGATGAGGGTAGACCTATCCGCACACAGTGTGCTTTCCATGTTCAGCGTCCGCAGGGAGAAACACCGATATAGCTGCAGCTGTCCTACATCTGTCCACCAGCTGCCACCAGGGGGCAGACCTGGAGCTCTGCCCTAAATGTGTGTCTGTCATGAGTTTAAAGTGGCCCTAATTTATGGTTTGGACAAAATCAGCAGAGTTCACACATGAAACACAGATTTTATGAGCTCGTACCTTCTGTGTAAGAGTGTAAAAGGCAAATAAAACCAGCGCTACAGAACAAATAACGACTTCAACAACCTGGAATTTAACATGAAGTTAACATGAAGCCTCGAAGAGGAAATCTGATTAAGTTAGTACATGTTAGAGATAAAATCACAGCATGCAATAACAGAGCAGCTCTCAGTCTGGGTGGCTTTAAACTCTTACCCGCTTTTATCCTCTTTATTGCTCTAAATCAGCAGATAAACTCAAATGACCTGTAAATATTATATAACAGCATGCACAGCATAGGTTTGAGAAGCACCAGAGTGAGAGCTGCTCTGGGTAGAGATCACCCTGCAGCACCAGCACAGTCAGTAGCCTGTAAAATGGAAAGCGATGGTTAAAGTTAAGAGTTGGAAAGAAAAGTAAGAGGGCAGGTGTTACAGCGACCAAGTGTTCTTACATACATCCCAAAACAACAAAATATGTCACGTCAGCGATGCTGTTTGTGGAATACAAATTTTAACTTGCATAAAAAACATTTGAAGGGTCTCTGCTGGAGTCACTGACCACCATGTAGTTGGAGCCCCGGAGCAAAACATGGGTTTACTTGTGTTTCAGTGACATACACCTCTTCAGTATTCCAGATAATTAACAGGAATAGAAGGAAAAATGAGATTTGCAGGTTCAAATTTTAGGATAAATATGCTTTTTTTAAAGAAATACACACTAGTAAAACTCTGGGCTCATCTGGTATCAACTAAGGTCCTTGTTTTGCAGCAGAACTGCTTCAGTTGTATCGTCGTCTTTTCTTTGTTAGAGAGATTTAATACTTATCTCTGCACAAAACGTTTGTGCTGAACGTGAGAATAAAGGCCATCATGGGGTACATCATAGACATGCAGGTACACAGGTAAGCTGCAGGTTTGTGTAGAAGCTACTCTGTAGGCTCGCTGTAGGCGTGCCATACATTTTGGCTAGGTTACCTAGGTTATTCCTTCGTCTACACCTATATATGCTGTAGATATGCCATAAGAATACATCAGTATGCTATATGTGACATCACTGCGCGCCCTGTAAATGAGTGTGTCTGCAAACAGCATGGTGTCCGTGGAAACTCAACATTTTGAGCTAAAGTGGTTGAAAGTGCAGAGGTAGCCAATCAAAGAGGAGCTTAACCAACAGATCCAAGTGGTGAGAGGAGGTGAGAAAGGGAGGAGTCCACATCATCCCAGAGTTACAGTTAGACAGTTCACCTGGTTAGAGGAGCTCTTATTAGAGATTAAAGGGAAATCATCCCAGCAGGAGGTTAATTAGGAAGCTGGACAGACGGCAAGATGAGGAAGCATCTGTTCCTCCTCCGACTAACCAAGCGGCTGGGGCTGCGGCCCCTGGAGTCAGCGCTCCTGTCGGGACTCCTGTCAGGGCTCCTCCGGGACCCCACAGGCTCAGAGTAGGCGGGCTCGGGGACGCAGGTGATGCGGATTCGAGGTGTGTGAATGTGATGTCTGGTGGGGCTGACGTGGACAGGGTAGGAGGGGGGACGGGACCGAGGTTTGTACCCAGGGAGCTTGAGGAGCTCTTCAAAGTTGATGTCTTGCTTCTCCATGAAGGAGTTATAGTTCTTTGGGGCGATGCGGGGGGAGTTGCTCTGAGCTCGACGCATCACCTGGAAGGCAAGGTGGGTGTTTAACGAGGAGGAGATGCACATGAGGACAGGAGGAGGACAGGAGGAGGACACTCGCTGGTTTTGGTGTCCAGAGAGTGAGATCTGTGATCTGCATTCACATTTGTTTGATGGGAGGAACGTAAGCCCTCTTCACAGAAACACTCCACAAGGCAGAAAAACATCTCACCACGACTCAGTTTGACCTTTAACACGCTGAGCTCATCACCCTGTTAGTGACGAACACGGACGACTCAAGTCACTACACATCAAGCCTTTTTAAAATGAAACTCTTATTTTGGTAGTTTCTCCGCCTGTTTGTTGCCGCTCTGCTGTTTCACCTGGAAAATGAAAGAAATCAGAAAGTTGTGACTTTTATTTATCGCAGACTCTTCTGCAGATCAGCTCCGATGATACCTGCAGGGTGGGAAACAAACAGAGCGCGCTGGCCTTTGATTCACACGACTCCAGCTCAGTTAGTGCTGCTATAAATGGAAACATCTGTTTGTGTGAGTCTGAGTGGAACCACAAGCTGCTCAGTGGGTAAGTCTTGTTCCTGCTCCCACATATAAACCAGCCTTTTGTCTTTGCAGCAGAGCTTCACCTGAGTGTATGTGTGCACATTTGGATGCTAGCAGCACCTGTTTCCACAGCAGCGTCACATCCTCAGAGCGGTAAAAGCTCTTTTCTTGAAACATGTTGGAAGGTGTTGGTGCGTAACCACTTTTCCAATAGTCACAAAGGGAAAACAAACAATAGTCTGACTTTTAGTGCGATCGAATGTTTCTCATAACATGTGGCAAAAAACTTGTTTAAATGTAGCTGTATTCTTCATTTTTTCTTTATTTTATGCAAAGATTTATTTGTATTAATCGATCAAAAGCATCAAAAAATCAACAATCAGTTTCAGGCTCTGTGTGATGTCAGCGGGGACAGGGTATCACTAATATGGCCACCTCTGCTGCGAGGGGCAGCCAATCAGAGCAAAGCCGCCTTGAAACAGCTTCTTCCACACTCATCAACATAAATGATGTTGCCGGTTAAATGACTTGTGCCCCCCCAGAAGCATGCACCAGCACTAAAATGAAAGAAAGTAAGGCTGGTCGTGTGAAACTGCGTGCCTGCAGGCTACCTCTTTGGCCCAGGTGGGCTTGTCGTTGCTGCTGGGCGCCTGATCCTTGTAGTGGTACAGCTGCTTCTTGTCCTGCGGCGGTCGCGCCGGCTCCTGCTGCTGCTGCAGCGACACCAGGTACGCCCGCTCCTGCTGCAGCTGCCTCTGCAGCCGCTCGGCCTGCCGCTGCTCCTCGATCTGCTTCCTCTTGTACTCCTGCACACAGAACAGAGAGACGTCAGCTGAGCGCAGGTCGAGCTGCAGAGATAAAAACAACAAGGATCACGTTTCCTCAAACAAACGGGCTCGTGTGCTCAGCTCAACATGGCCTGTGTGCACGAGTGCAAAGAGAAACCTTTATGCTACTTTAATTATCCTGCACGTCTTGAGACCGGCTTGCATTTGATCTGCATGTAGACACCAGAGCACTGCTCCTGTGGTGTGTTTAGACCAAATGCAAAACCCACCCGCTGAGATTCTCCCACAGACTGCGAAGCCCGCTGACACTGCTGACTATCAGGATGAGAGAGAGCTGAAAAAGTGGAGCTCTTTGATTGAACTTTTAGATACATGCAGAAAGAATCGCACGACTTCCTCAGAAGCTCTTGTTAATTCCAGCTATCAGCTGTAGTTTGGAAGGAAGTAGCTCTGCCACTGGCTGTTAGGAGTAGACATTTGTGGGTGGAGAAATGATCCAAGAGCACTCCAGTGACTGCAACACAATTACAAAACATTTGATGGCTCAAAAATCTAATTGCCATGCTGGCTAACTCTGCTGCTGCCTCTGAGTAGAATAAGCGTGCGAGGTCCGTCTCTGCTGCTTCCATCCTGCACGTTAGGCCTGACACGTCAGACGCTGTCGAACCTTTGAGGTGCTTTTTGGTTATTTGAATGAATGATGCACCAAAACTAAGCAGCATGGAGCGACACTGCACTGGGGAGGAGTTGTTTTATGATATCACGAACACGTTTAATTTGATGCATCTTGATAACGACCTTCGAGCCACCTGAGCTCTGGGTGTCTTTGTTTCACTTTGCTTGTGCGGTGCTCTCTGCTGCAGGTGCTAATTAGTTCTATGAGCTCCACCTTTTTCTTACCCCCAAGTTCTTCTCACAGTCTTTGAGCTGATCTGTGACATGAAATGAAAGTAATGGCTACTAAAGGTAAAGATGCTGGGAATGACACTGGTCTGCGTAAAGGAACGTCTGTGTGTAGCAGAGCTGCAGCCACAGGAACATGCACAGCTGCACGCCGTCTGCAGCTCTTGGTTCAAGGCAAACATTGATGGTGCTGCACAATTTTAATATGCATTTAAAGCATCAGAATATAGAACTATTACAGTCACGATCAATGTAAAATGAGCTTTTTGAAACGCATCCCGCACTTTATACTTTACTTCTTTTTTCCCCATTTGTTTCTCTATTAATTGACTGAAAGAGGAAAATTCTTAAATATAAAAAGACATCTTAGAGAAGCGTGTGTTCTTACGTCGAGGGTTATAAGTGACGAGCTGAATGCCATCGGCTGACATTTCTCCTCACACTGTAACGTCCCTTTAGAGGTCTGGCATTTATCTGAGCCACGTGTGAAAGACTGCAGCAGGCCTTTTAGGCGTGTGTGTGTGTGACCGTGTTTACGTATCTTTGTGGGGACCAAAACGTGAAAGTTTACTGTGCTTGTGGGGACCAACGGCCCTTCTGGGGACAAAATCCCAATCCCTACGAGTTTGAAGACGTTTCAGAGTCACAATGTGGGTTTAGTGTCAGGGTTAGGATTAGGCGCTCATTTTGATGGTTAGGGAAAGCATTGTGTCAATTAGATGTCCCCACAAAGATATGGAAACACGGTGTGTGTGTGTGTGTGTGTGTGTGTGTGTGTGTGTGTGTGTGTGTGTGTGTGTGTGTGTGCGCGCACTGATCAGTTTGCACCCCTGACTGTTCTGATGTCACTGACTGAGGAAGACGCATCATCACAAACAGTGAAGCTGAATAAAGTCTTCCCAGCGCCGGCGGCCATCGACTGACACGCCCACTGCTGCGTGTGCTGATTGATTTGATGTTTGTTAACTTTTTCTGTGAAAAAAAGAACAACCCGACGCGTGAGTCATCTCGGCTTGGTTGGTATTGATCGATTATTGACTGGCCTCACCTTCGCGTCACACTTTATTTATTTGAGTAAACAATAAACAGGCAGACTTCCTGGAAACCGTGCTGCTTTGATTTTTAGGAACCAATGAGAGCTCTGGAAGTGACTTCCTGCAGACCTGGACCTCGCTCTTTGCACCTGAACATGCCATCGCTCAGACAATAATCTTAGTGATTTGGTTTCGATTGGGACCTTTTAAAACTGACTTCTGAGGACAGAGTGTGTGAGTCGTGAGCTGTTATTGTAATTATAAGAATTTAAACGTTTAAAGGGACATAAATAAGTCCCCAGCTTTGGGGCGACCGTGGCCTGGTCGTTGTGTCCTTGGGCAAGACACTTTACCTACTGCCTACTGGTGTTGGCCAGAGGGGCCGATGGCGCGATATGGCAGCCTCGCTTCTGTCAGTCTGCCCCAGGGCAGCTGTGGCTACAACCTTAGCTTGCCTCCACCAGTGTGTGAATGTGAGAGTGAATGAATAGTGGTATTGTAAAGCACTTTGGGTGCCTTGAAAAGCGCTAAATAAATGCAATCCATTATTATTATAAAATATTCAGAGTGTTATTTCAGTTGCTTTCTGAGAGATGAGCGGAAAGCTGGGGTCTCATAGCCTCGAACGATTATCATCTAGTCTCTCGTGTACCTGGGGAAACCTGACCAATCGTGCCCGGACATCTTACATTTTGGGGCCAGTGGTGGCTTTTACTGAACTGAAGTTTTAGGAACGCAGCCCACTCCTTCATGGGTGAATGCTCCCTGCTCAGTATGAGGTCTTCCTTTACTTTGGGGTTTAGTAGCTGCTTGTTAGGTTGAAAGGTAATCAGTCCATCTGTTTCTCCCTTGATTCAGAGCTATTATAAATCAACTGATTTATCAGTGTGTGAAACAGAAACGTGCTGTTTGAACTCCGGACAGATTCAGGAGATTACTTTTTCTGTAGTTGTTCTTGTGACTCAAAGCGCTCAGCAGGAAATAGTTGTTTCAGGAATTCTTTAAGTGCTGCAAATACTCTTTGTGGTTTAGTTGAGGAAGTTGCTTGGATAGAGGATACAAAGAAGGCAACCATGATGCCCACTCAGCAGGAGAAAAAGCCCCACACTGTTAACTGTTAATGCACATCAAACTGACTTTAGACTAGGAGGCTGTAAAGCACTGGGTGATGGTAGAGGAAGCAAACTTGGAGCTAGCATTCTTCACCAGGTATAATGTAGCATCCTTAGTGCTTATCAGACAAACGAGGCATTTCCAGGTGCTTGTGGGTGGGAAAACCTCCTAAAACCCATTGCAGAATATAACGAAGCTTAGAAATCAAGCAAACCTAAAGCTGCAACCAAGCTAGCCTGCACATCAGCCTCCCACTGAACTCACCCGGGAGCATCAATCCCAGGCCTGGAGACCTGAGGCCCTTCCTATGTGAATGAATCATGTAGCGTTTTAACAATTAACACACACAAATTCAAATGATCACCACTGTGTGACAACACACAGTGAAGCTTTCCCCGAGTTCCAGGTTAGCTCACCGGAGACCACGACAAGGCCAAAAAATGCAGCAGCCCAGGTTTGAGAGTGACTGCTGTGCTTTCCCCTGCTCTCTCCTTCCTGTTTAGTCGTCACGGCTGCTGCATTCAAAAATGCCCAAATAATAAATATTGTTTTTTTAAACCAACGTGACCTCTGTGTCTAAGCCAACATGCTACTGCCTGAAATCTGATTTCTTTTTCTACCTGCCAGCAGGGGGCGACTGCTCTGGTTGAAAGCAAAAAAGACTTGTGGTTCTATAAATGTCCATGAAAAAAAGGGTTTCAAGATTTCAAACAGGACTTCAATAACAAACGAGTTATCGTGGCAGCTGCACCCATCTGTGGTTTGAATGACCAAGCTCGCTACATTTGTAGAATCCAGGGTTGGAATAGGATTAACAAATCTGCTTCTGTTCTTTCACTTCTCTTTCTCGTCTTCCCCCAACCGATCACAGCAGATGTCAACACGTCTCTGAGTCTGGTTCTGTTGGAAGTCCCTTCCTGTTAACGGGCAGTTCTTCCTCCCCGCTGTCGCCAAAAAACAGTCATCTGATTGTTGAAGCTTTCACTGTAATATTTCAGATTATGTATCTTAGAGTTTAAGGCACTTTGAGTTTTATGTGAATAAAAAATCAAAGCAGGGTACTTTGAGCCCGGCGTTAGGCTCTGCCCTTCATCAGTCTGTGTGTGTTTGTGTTGTGTTACCAGCAGTAGGGCCTGCTCCTGCAGGAGCTGCTGCTGCAGGATCTCCAGCTGCCTCTGCTCCTCCTCCAGCTGTCTACGGATATACTCCTAACCAATCAGCAGCCCCAGCCAGCACCACAGGCAGCCAATCAGAGAGCGACCAGGAGAAATGGAAGCGAATCGGAGCCCAGGCAACCAGTGACATCACCCGAGGAGGAAATAGAAGAAAAGGAAAAAGGAAAGAGGAGGAGGACAGCCAAAAGTAGGAGATTTGTTGAAGAGGTGTGAAAGTAGGGATTTAGTCAGGAACAGGCGAGGAGAGAAAAAAGAGGAACAGCAGGAGGCCGTAATTAGTAGAACAGAAAGACAACATGCTTATTATTAAGATGGCAGTGTTAAAGATCAGTGTGAAATCAGCTGTGCAAGAGGAAGAAATCTCTGTCTGAGAGAGTGTTAACTACGAGTCATTTATAAGTCTCGTGTGTTACAGTATCAGGCTGGAGGTGTGGCGACCCTGCAGCTGAAAATCAGCAACCCGAACCACAACGAGCACACAGCCCACATCTGTGTAGCGCAGGTTTACACATTAAAACGAGTTTTCTCTGTCTGTCAGACATGCTCCTCATCATCCGGTGAAACCTTAAAGCCTCATCATGTAGCATGTTTCCCCTCAGTCACATCACAGATTTTTCTGGACTAGAAAATGTTCTGTTGTCACATTTCACGAGTGACCGGCTCCATAAAACGATCGATACCACGTTAAAGGCTGCAGAGGGATTATATCTGCAAGCGGCTGCTTTCTGTTGCTTAAAGTTTTGGGACAAAAAGAGTAAAGAGTAATCTATAATCGCAGAATTGTTTGACATTAATTATAAACCTCCGAAATTAGAGGTTTGAGTAAATGTATTTTTAGGCTGAAGCAACATGACTGAAGTTCCATTTTGGTCCAGAAACACAAAAAGCTAACTAATTACAAGCTTCTTTGATTAAATCCAATTTAAATGCCAAATTTAAAATGCATTAAAGCCACAAACTTGAAAAACGTACAATCTGAATATTTTAAATGTGGAAAACGTCATGAACTGTAGTCACACAGTTAGAACAGAAGCTCCGTGTAGACCACGACTGTTTTAAATGATCTGTTTACCATTTTACACACATCACACATCAAAGGTTGTAGACGGATTAAAGGAGGATTATTTGTGTTGGTGCTTAAAATATTAGCACAGCCTTTTACTGCACAATAATACATTTTTGCATAAATGTTTGAGATAAAATGAAGTTTTACAGTCATGTAGTTTTAAGCTGAGTCATGCTGACTTTTAATCCCCACTGTAGGATAAGCTCTAGAGACATTAGAAACCTTCATTTCCCATAATGCAGCTTGGAAATTTATTTAATTCAGGTCTCATTTAAACCCTGCATGAATAATGCAGGAGTGATGCAGCACGAGAGTTCTCACAGGCTGTGAAGCAGAAGTAAAATGAGGAAAAATGCTCCTTTAGCTTTCAGCTAACTGAGTGTGTAAAGCAATAAAACACAGAGCTGAGCTCAGAGTGAGGGACGGAGCGCACAGTCATCAATGATTTGGTCGGAACACCAAACCATCTGGTTTATTATGAATGTGTTGCTACAACAGTAGAGCTAATTAATTTGTGTTTATTTAACAATTGGTTCAAATTTGCTTGTGTAACAGCTGCGAGTTGTTTCCTAAGACATTAATAATAATTTTCAAAGATTAGTGAGAGCTTATTTAAGTCTCTTATTCTTTGTTTATTAGTTTATGTTCCTGTTCCCTGTTCTAGTTGTTGTAAAGCTCATTTATTTATGATTAATGTACAAATTAAGTACCATAAATTCTTTCTACAGCGCCCCCTGGTGTCTGGAGGCCAGCATCTACAATATGTGAAATTCTTCTTTTACATCATCTCTGTAGCGTCTTCTCTGATTTGACGTTTCCATGTTTCAGTCGCTCATCAGAGTAACTGACAGCAGATGTGCTGAGAAGCCACACCCCCCCGTATGACACCTGTCAGTCAGGTGTTTCCGTACCTGCTCTCTCTCGGCGTGCCTCCTCTCCTCCTCGCGGCGGAGCTGCTCCATCTCTTCATACCTCCTCCTCTGCTCTCGCTCCTGTTGCTTCCTCAGCTCTCGCTCGCGACGCTGTTGCTGTAGGTGGAAACCGTTTTACACAACAACACCTCAGCTGTCTGCATGTCCGTGTGTGTCTGTGTGTGCGCGTCAGGCATGTTTTCCTGGCATTTGGATGAGCTGAGGTGCTAACAAACAGGTGTGATGTGTTTCACATGCAGGAAAAGTGATTTTATAATCATTCTGATCTGTTTCTCACAGATTCAAACAGCCGAAGGACAAATCGACTTCCTGTGTGTAACGTAACAATCTATCGTTGTCATTATTATTATTATCTGCGGTCTTAAATCTACCTCCTCCAGCCGTCGCCGCTGCTCTTTCTGCTCTTCTATACGTTTTTGTCTCTCGGCCAGTAGCTGGCGCTTGTGCTCCTCGTTCTGCTGCTGCTCCAGCTGCTGACGCCGGATCAGCTCCGACCGCTCCTTATTGGCCAGCTGCAGACGCAGGAAGTCTCGCCTCAGCGTGGACTCGCCCGGAATATTGATGATGGAGCTGGAACAGGATTAAGACTTGTTTGAGTTTTAGCGAATCTGCAAACCTATGGACGAGCAGCAGTAATAATGGGAGCATATAGCAGGTCTTTGCTAAATAAAAGAGAAGTTTAGCCACCATAATGTTTTTGTTTGTGAACTCTCTTTTTGTTTTTTGGAGCTAAAAGTGAGCATCGTCAGATGAGAGGGTGGAGTTACAGAAAGTGAACTGCCTGCATTCGTAAACTGTTAAAGTGTCACATCTGTAAGTTAGTCCATGGTTGTTATATGAAGCGGTAAATTCTGAGACTGCAAGTGATGCTACAGCTGAAGTTCCAAGAAGCTGCAGTTCCTGTAGTGGCCACTTGAGGCTGGTGTCAGCGTTGAGTCAGCTGAAAGGATGTTTAATAGACAGCTGTAGCATAGAGCAGCCAGACCTCTAACTTTAAGCCCTAAATAAATGTAAACACGTGAGTTATTTTGTGTTAAACACTTGTGAAGGTGGAAGGTATCTACAAAGACCAAAACATTGTGTTGTAACAGGCTGTAAACCGTTCATTTCTGTTGCAAAGCTGTGGGAGTCGATGGGGAGTGTCTCACTGTCGCTGCCACTCCAGCAACTGGATTTGTGGTGCTTCAGTTTTGGATTCTAGATTTCTGCCTGTTAACACCAGCAGCTACAGTGGAGGCTACGGCATGAGTAAACATACCTGGGCTCTCCTATGTCCCTCTCTTCATCCTCTTCCTCGCTCCCACTGTACTCGTACTCCGTCTCATCTGAGGGGAAAACAAACAGAGATTTCAGGTCAGTGTTTACATCTGTTGACAGCGGAGGCTTCAGGCAGCTGTGAGCTGAGGTGAGTTAGTGCCTGCTCACCTCGCTCGCCCCTCCTCTTCTTGGTGCGGTCGATGTGGTCCTTCAGCTGGATGCGGACCTGCCGCTCGTTGGGGAGGTCTCTGATGAAGGGGTGCTTGAGGAGCTGCTCGGTGCTCGGCCTCTGGCTGTGACTCTTCACCAGGCAGCTCTCTATGAACGACTGGAACTTCTTCGACCTGACCGCGAGCACACACACCAGTTAATCGCTGATAGCTCTCTCTCTTAAAACAGCAGCTTCATTAAAGGGAGAGCTGCAGCTTTACCCTCTTACAGGCCACTGTCACATCATGTTTGTGTATAGATGTCTGACAGCATGTGTGTGCGTTTAAGTGACTCACCACTTCTTTGATTTGAGTCTCGGGGCAGGATTTCTGGGGATGAGGAAGAGCGCCCTCATTGGATGCATGTCACACAGAGCTGAGGAGGCAAAAGGAAGGAAAGGAGAGAGAGGAAAGGAAAGAAAGCAAGAAAGCAAAAAGATAGGAATTAAAAAAATTAAAAAGGAAAAATGGGAGAGAGGAGATGAGATTAGGAAAGGTGCCAAAATGTGGATAAAGGAAAGGAGAGGAGAGGAGAGAAAGGAAATGATGCAAAGGTGGAGCAAGAACAGGAAATAAGACAAAAGGGAAGGACAAGAGACAAGAAATGATGAGACATGAAATGGGAGAAGACAGGAGAATAGGAAAGGAAAGGAAGGGAGAGGAAAGGAAGTATTTAAAGTCGCAGGATAAAAGAAGGGGAGGGAATGAGACAGGAAGAAGAAGAAGAGGTGCAAAGCAGAAAGAGAAAAAAGAAAAAGACATCGATTTAGTCGTTTAGCTCGCAGACAAACTGTGCTGTGAGTGTCAGCTGATAACGGTGTAATCACACTTACGTGGCGCTCCCTCTGCCATCTCTATGGCTGTGATACCGAGCGACCACAGATCACTCTGCAGAGAGAGAAACACGAAACGTTCACATCCTCCCAACGTGTTACCGACTCAACACTTTCAGGAGATCGGCGCGCCAATCGGTGTACTTGTTAAGCGATAAAAATACAGTCAGCTCCCCATCTGTGCCTGTGCTGGAGATGCCCGTCTTTAACATTTCAACCATATTATTATTATTATGTTTCTGTTTTTAGGTGCAGATCTGAGCTGTTCGTGCTGTCAGACGGACTCAGGCTTTCTCGTCACGTAAAGCCCCGGAGGGTTGGAGTTAATGGTGTAGGCGCACATCCTCCACCAGCTCGCCACAGGGGTTCGTCCTGTCCCCATTACAGCGCGCCCCTCTTACAGTAACCGCTGCAGACCCACTGATTTCAGCTCTCTGAAGGAACGATACTCGTTTCTGTTGGTGCGCTCGGGTAGCAATAATCAGAGATTACACAACTCCAAAAAACAACAGATATGATGTGAGAGGGATTGTTTTTAAAGGTCAGTGCGCGCTGTTTGTTCACAGCTACAAGCAGTTTGACTCGGACGAGAAATTGAACTACAGGAGCTCCGTGAGGGCAATTTAATAAAAAAGAAAAGCAGGAAAAACTTTACCTTTTCCTTCGTTTTAAAGTGTACTTATTTAGGTTTGTTTGCCTAGAGTGGAAAACCACGCGTGCACTGTTAAACTGGATCTGTACTCGTGAGATCTTATCCCAGCTTATTAAGTGCAGATTTAAATGCTCCTTCAGTTCAGATCAAAGAAACACGGAGACGTCACTGAGCTGCAACAGCCTGATCAGATCAGCTGTTACGCTAATGTTTAGCATCCAGGCAAAAACACGATTTATGAAGCGTAGCTGAGCTGGAAATCCGCCCATAAACTGTACAGCACTGCTGTAACTTTGTAATTAAAACAAGACGCAAAACTAAATATGAGCAATTTGTAAGGATACATACAGACACATTAGCACAGAGATGGAGGATGAGAGCTGTTATAGGAAAACCTCAGAGACAAATGCTGTCCTATGGCAGGATGAAGACAGCGAAAATCGACCAACACGAGAGAGCGTCTCAGGTCATCCCATGCGACTCCTGCTCAAGCTTAAAGCTGGTGCTAACATGAAGCTGGGAGGCTGAGAATGACTGGTTCATATTGTTTGCTCGGGGCCCAACAGAGGAGACACTTTTAGCAGGAAAAACAAGCTCTATAAATCATCACTTATCTTATACGATCCTGTGCTAATGACTTCACCCGAGTCTCCTTTCGTTTATCAGGCAAACTGGCGTCTGTGCAACACCAGCTGTTTAACCTCACAGAATCAATATGAACTAAACCCTAATCCATTACCAACGATAGGATCAATACAAAACCAGCACGACTGTGTGAAATGGCTCCACACATCGCTAATACAAGCGCCCGTGGACGATGTTCTCGGGTTCCACAAACCGAGGGCTGAACGATCTTCTGTTTTCAGGAAACTCAGTGGTGGTTTAGTGCAGCATAGGTTACCATGACGATGTATCCTAGTACAAAGTTAAGCCTAAAGTTAGCTCACCGAGTCCTGAGACGACTGTTAGTTAGAATAAATTACCTTGAAGTCATACGTGGCATCAGGATTCTCATCACAGGCGATGACCTCCGGGGCCATCCAGTACGGGGTCCCAATAAACGTGTTCCTCCGTCCCACCGTACGGTCCAGCTGAGCACTCACACCAAAGTCCACTGCACACAAAACACTGTTCATAGCGCTGCGGTGCAGTGCCGAGCTGTACATGTTATGCTTTTGACAGCACGCATCCAGAGCGGCCCCTCAGGAGCCTTCTAACTGTAACACAAGTCACCATAATTAGGATGAAACTTAGAATAAATGCTGCTGCTTCCTCACCGAGTTTGACCTCCGCGTTCTCCGTCAGCAGCACGTTCTGGCCTTTGATATCTCTGTGGATGACCTTGTGCTGGTGGAGGTGGGTCAGACCCTGGAGACAAGGGGAAACAAGTGGCAAAGGTCGTCTTACGATCCAAAACAGAACAGCAGGAGGCAGAGGAGAGGCTCGCTAATCCGTGAGCTTCATCGCTTCATTATTTCAGTTCTGCTCTTTGAGGCCAAAATATGCAGATACACAAAACCAGGTGTACATATAATTAATCAATCTGCATTCTTCCTTACAAATCTGTCATTTATATTTATATAAATGTTACAAATTTGATTTCATTTATTTTAGATGCATTTACAAATTTCCTTTCTTGTCAGTTTTCTCCACACATGTGGCAGACTTTTTCTTTTTTGCAAAGACTCTGACGGTGTTCCTCTGGGAAACAACTGGGTGTTTCTTCTTTGTGGGAAACATGTAAACATAGGCGACAGCGTTTTGGTTCCTACCCTGAGGATCTCTCTGCAGATGTAGGCGATCCACTCCTCCTTCAGGGAGTTCCCTTTGGTGTTTTTGATCAGATCTGTCACCGAGCCGGCCCCGCAGAACTCCATCACCAGCTGCACAAACATACGTGCAGTTTTTGGGTTTAGTATTAACTGTTCACTTCACTGCAAACCTCTATCAGTCATCTCATCCTTTGATCTCTATATACAGGACGTGTTGTCGTTGTGGGTCAGGGGAGCTTTCAGTCAGACTGATTTAAGCTCAGCTAACAAAACGTGTTCGTGTGACTAACCCAGAGCTGGTCGTCCACTCCTGGAGGATTTTTCTTGATGAAGGCTCCATAATAGGTTGCTATGTTCCTGTGGTGGCTGTACTTCTTCAGCATGTTGATCTCGGCTTTAATCTCCTCCTCCTCATCCTAAAGCACACAAACGCAGAGACAGATGCAGCACAATGCCAATAACACACACGGTCCCAGTATAACAGAAAGGCTGGATTAAAGACGGTGTGTGTCACTCACGCCTGTGACATCCATGACCTTGATGGCAGCGAGCTGGCCAGTTTTGACATGGCGACCCTGAAGAACAGAGGTGGAGAGGCGATCAAAGACATGAGTCACGGATTTGGATCTAGGACACATTTACTCAACATTTCCATCCCTTAATCTCTTAAGAACAGAGCAAACCCAGTTTGCTTCCTCTAATTCCTTGTTTTGGAGCGATTTCTGATGGGAATCCAGATGAGCAGGCCCTAGCCCTCTGCAGAGCAGGTTTCTGGGGACATATTTATGTTTTGCACTGTCCATCTGTCCAGAATTTGTGGACAAACAAAAGTGTACAATATACAGTCAGAGACTCTTTTGCAAATATGGTCTCAGTAAAGGTTGACATATTATGGATCCAAGTTCCAAATACTGTTCGAAAATACAGCCACAGCCCTTATTCTCAGTATATTCAGCTGGAAAAAAACACCTTTACCATGAAACTTCAAAGAAAGAATGATGATGATACAGAGTCCATCTAACCCAATGTCAACTCCTTCAATAGGCTTCCTCAACGACTAAAATAGAAGCCGGTAGATGCAGATGGAAGACGTTAGATTTTTAACATGTCTTTAATGTATGAAAGTGTGCATGTAAACCCAAACTGTGGTCCTGTGTGCATGCTAACTGGACTGTAAGGAGCCCGGCTGAGATTGGAGAGGAAACTATACAGCTGACAGAGAACCAGCGTTCGAAACCTGACAAGCTGTTTTTGTGGCTGCTTGAGACTTGGGGAAGTCGATGTCTCATTGCCATATGAAGCATCATATTATGCCTCATTATTATGGGGCGGCTGGGTCTCCTACTAACCTGCTACACCAATCGGCATGTTGAAGTGTCCTTGGGCGAGATACTGAACCCTGGGCTGCTCCCAGTGCATTCACAGTTATGTGAATGTGTGCATAAATGTTGGGTACAGAGAAAATGAACGCATGTATGTGATTGGGTGAATGAAGCTTTTAGTAAAAATGAATTAATTAGAGTAGAAAAGCACCGGAAGTGCTGCACACCTGTATTTCTTCTAATGGCCAGCAGGGGGCAAAAACAAGTCTGACTGTAGAGAACTGTGAGAGGAAAGGTTTGGTTCGCTCTTAGTGAACACTTTCCTGATCTATTCACAGTCTCAGTTGCTCGTTTCAAGGTTTTGTAAATACAATATTATATTTATTAAATATTAACACTCAACAGAGTCTAAAAGGATAACTGCCACATGAGTGTACAGCATCCCTCTTTGGTTTGTCTAGCCGATGACTTCACACTAACTATGGTTGCATTCTTTCCTTTTACATACTTTTTGCCACATGTGTTACTACGTGATCCCGTCTGACAACACACTGTTCTGATCACAAGCGATCGTGTGCCCACGAGAGATGTGTCTGTCTGCAGCTTCCTCCAGCGATAAAAGCACGCCGCCAGCTTGTTTATCGTCGCTGTTACACTTCACAGTGTGCAGCCAGATAATCGTCACAGAAGTGAAAAATGAATCACCAGAAAGTACCCTTCACATGTAGCAGAAAACTGTGCTTTGCAAACACCTGAGAGCTCCTCTGCTTTTGAATTCAAGTGGGATGCTTTTACATATTCATGCTGTACTATTTATTCATTTTAAGCTCATTAATTCACCTTTAAGTTTGGCCTGGTCTAGAGTTCAGCCACGTGTAGCTTGTCAGGTAGATGAAAACGACAAAGAGCCAAACAGAAGTAAGAATCGATACTTTACGTTACATTGAGCATCGAGCAGCAGCTCTCTGGGAACAAAATTCCTTATTGGTGTTATAGATTAGATTAGTTCGCCTTGTAATCAGAAGGTTGCCGGTTCGAGCCTCGGCTCCGACAGTCTCGGTCGTTGTGTCCTTGGGCAAGACACTTCACCCGTTGCCTACTGGTGGTGGTCAGCGGGGGCGCCAGTGTCCGGCAGCCTCGCCTCTGTCAGTGCGCCCCAGGGTGGCTGTGGCTACAATGTAGCTGCCATCACCAGTGTGTGAATGTGTGTGTGAATGGGTGGATGACTGGATGTGTAAAGCGCTATACAAATACAGGCCATTTAGTTCATTTACCAGAATAGCTGATAGGCTGCTGGAACGATAACAGTAACTCAAACAGCTACTTGTAACAAACAAGGAATACAGACGTGCACAACACAACATGTTGAAACTGATGTTCCACAGCAGCAGAAGAACACAACAAGTGTCCTTCCTGTTAGCTAAGAGGACGAAACTGAGGCTACAATTCACAGGTTCACCAAAACTGGACAGCAGAGGATTGCAAAACGTTGTCTTGTCTGTGTTTACTTCTCCTGCAACATTTCGATGCTAGGGCCAGACTTTGGGGAACCAGTGTAACCAACTTTATGTTGTGCAACATAACACAACATGTCGCACAGTTTAAGTCACTGTACTCACATGACCTCAGCAGTCACCACACCTTAATCCAGCAGAGCACCAGATTTACATTATGGATGCTATCATGTCAGGTCTGGCTGTACCTAACAAAGTGCAAACAACTGTCCCATTAATAAAATAATTCATTCATGGTCAGCGCCCCTCGCCAAGGACTCGCTGATATTTATACTCCCAGACGCTGCAGATATAACGCAGAATAATCATGCGTTCAACTCTGCATTTAAAATATTAAGCTGTGCAAAGTCGTCAGGAAACTGTTCAACTCATGGCATCAATCTCCGGTTTGTCTTTCCAAAGGTAAAGGCCCCGCGCTCACTGCAGGGCACATCGCCGCAGCCTGTTAGCTCCCATTTTTTCAGCACCGTGACGACTTTGAGTTTAAATAATTTACAGTGAAGCTGAACTAAAATCCAACACTGAGTCTAACGTCTCCTCCTCCTCCTTCAAAGCGAAGCCGGTATCACAGCAGCTGTTAAAGCGAGAAAGTGGAAATTCATCCACCTCACCACACACACACACACACACACACACACACACACACACACACACACACACACACACACACACACACACACCATTTCCTAACGGTAACCTAGCAACAGGCCTGGCAGTGAGGGCAATGAATGAATGTGGGGTTGGAGGAGGCAAAGCGATGGCAGTTTGTGTGTGTGTGTACATGTGTGTGTGTTAGAGGCCATGATATTTCACACACTGGGTCACTTGCACATGTGAGTCCCTCAGATTCAGACACACACGCTGAAGTAGACAAGCTCACACACACTCACGCAGACGGCGTCTCGGTTACTCAGCGTTGCATCAGACACTGAATATATCTGACAGGCTGAAATCACCTCGGAGTGCTGAAAGTCTCTTGTTCTCTCCCCGTCTCTCTTGTGCGTCTCACATCTTTTGTTTCCTGTTTCATCGCGCCGACTCCCTCGATTTCTTTCACCTGTGCCAAGTGTTCGATAATTCAGCCTTTGGAATCGTCAATAACTTTAGGAAAATGTCAGTTTTTTGCTTTAAAGCTGATCTAAAAACCAGCCTGATGATTCACAGCGTGCTAACAATGCCAGTCACATTTTACCGAAAGCTGACCTTGGATCTGTCGTTAACGATCCAATCGAAACCTTTCTAGTCAGATGCCATTTTAGTAGATGTGCTGTGAACCGACTCCAACCTTCACCCACCAGCTGCCATTAAAAGCTCAAGTGTACACCAGCCTCCCTTTAAAATATGATAATTAGTTTAGTCTCCACTGTCTCCCAGTCAGTTCTATGACAGACAGGCAGGAGTGGAAACCACAAAGCAAAACTGTCCATTAATGTCGGTGTAAAGCTTGATTCACGCTCGCTCTGATCGGTCTCAATAACAAACAATGCGTTCGTACCTCTGCACGAGAACATGTGCACAGCTCTAAACTCTGAGCTGGCCTAACAGTCGGGGAGAAACCTGACGAATGAACACAACTCACACGCACCTTTCCTGCTGTCTCTGTTTATTTACGCGGCGAGAATAAAACTGATTAATTACACCGAAGCATCTTTTACAGCAGGTGTCTAAATCATTTTAGCTCGGGGGCCGCAAACAAACAATTTGATCACAAGTGGGCTAGACCACCACAACTGCTGCATAATAACATACAGTACTGTGCAAAAGTCTTGAGCCACCACTAATTCCTTTATATTCTGCAGGAGAAGGGATGCAGTAATGCATGGAAACATGGAAAGTCATTTGGTATGACCGCCTTTACCCTTCAACACGGGCTGAACTCAGCTTTTCAATCAGGAATAATTCTCAGACATCAAAGTTCTTCTCTGGGAGTTTGTTCTGTTCTCTGTTAACATCGCCCCACACTGCTTCAATAATGAGGCTCTCTGCTTTTCTATTCATGTGTGTTTTTAGTGCATTGTCTCTTTGGGGTCATTGTTTCCAGATGGTATTGTATACGATCGCACTTTTATATGGAGAAGATCTGCAACACCATTGGATGAAATGCAGCCTGAGACCATGACAGACCCCCACTGTGTTTTCTAGATGGCTGTGGACTGTAACTGTTGGGCCTCTCTCCTGATGAGGCCTCAGTAAACAGTGCAAACACTGAATGTCCAGATACATCGCTCAGGTTCTGTGTCAGATCTTTGCTGGATTTTTTAACCATTTCTTAATGACTTCCAGCTTGTTTATTCACTGTAGATCATTTTCAGGCCTTCTCTGTTCTACACGTGTCCGGTTTCCTCACGTTTTTAAGGACACACTGTACATCATGCTTAGATGTGCCATGTTTTTAACTAATAGCTCTTTGGGAATCACCTTGATGGTGCAAAAATATTATTATATGTCTGACAATTATTTTTGGCATTTTTCATAGTTTCAGCTAAGAAATGTGAACAATCAATGTGATACAAGGTTATTTACTAAGCTGTGCAGACACAACACTGATTTATTGCTTCAGTTAGTTCCTGTTTTATGCTTTAATGAGGTCACACTCATAGGTCACTGTAAAGTTTGAAAATCCTTTAGAAATCTGGAGAACTGCTGCAATAATGATCAGCAAGCAACAAACATTTAAGGGGGAAAATAAGTAAATAAACAAACGTCAACATACGAGGAATGTTGGAAAGCCCGAGTGTA